GTTTTGGGGAGCAGAAAGGAAGCTAATGTACCTAAGACTGTGCCACGCAGAATGCCAATCAGTAGCAAAATACCTGATTTACACTAGATTGTAAATATGCAAACTTTCTTCTTAAGAAAGCTTTGTAGTTTTTAAGCTACCCTAAAGAATAGGCTTGGTAACATGCTTTATTTAATTCTGGCTCAGGTTTCTCATCTCAGAACATGCAAATAAAGATGAGGTCTTCATTAACGTAAGAGAATGTGAAGGAAAAATAGTGGACTACACAGGGGAAGGCCCACAGGGGGCCAGCACACTGCACTGTGGCAGGGCAATGGAAAGTGCATCAGAGTGCCCCGGGAATTCAGTGGCTTGCTCTTGCACTTGGACCTCCCTTGAGCAGCATGGTCTAGGAATGTGTGCATTCTGCAAATGCTAAGAGCCAGTGACCAATTCAAAACTACTGACTCATAGGCCTGTTTTGTTTGGCTCATAAAATGTTTGATGGGAAATTAGTTGCCAACAACTTAAAAACTTGAAGAAATGTAGCAGAGTTAGGCTTGTTTTCCTGCAGGACTGTCCCAGGAGAAGGGGAATGTGCTTATGTCGTATCTGTTATTGCCTATTCATTTGAAAGGCAGAATTATAGGGAGATGGAAACACAGAAAATCACTTCCATCTGTTGATTCATTGGCAAAATGGCCACAACAGCAGGGCTGGGTGAGGATGAAGCCGGAAGCCAGGAGCTTCAGTTGGGTCTCCCACATGGGTCCAGCAGGCCTCAGAGCTATTTTTGTATCCCACCAGGTCTTCTGTAGTTCTCCAATAGTTTCTGCATGTCATGTGCTGCATGCATTTTGCTTTTGGAAGTCATGCGTCCATTCTAAGGAGCCCTACATTTAGGTTGCATGCAGAGGTTGTGTCGGATCTTCTTCTCGTCTTGAAGGTGGAGGGTGAGGAACTGATGCACTCCATGCCTGGAAGAACACCTGACAAATGATAGGCACTGACTACATGCTGTTGAATGAGGCAGAGGGATGGGTGGGCTTGAAGAAGCACGTGCTTCAAGTCTGTCTGCTCAGATACTCGTTTAGCTCTTCCTCATTTGACTGGCATTGAGGGACATAGGATGAAAGTGAGGTAGATGCCTAGCTTGCCAGAAAGAAGGGTGTCCTTCCTCCAAGCATATCACACAGAGACGAGAAAGAGGAAAGAATAAAGCAGGTTGGCTTTTAGAATAATGGGGAAAGAAGGGACCATGCTGGACAGTCACACACAAGCCCACCCAGAGGTGGCAGGCAGCGCTGCACTCCCAGGGGGGCTCCTGTCAGGAAGAAAGTAATAAGCGGCATTTTTACATCCTCAGGTTCAAAGGCAATCAAGTGCAGAATTTCTTTAAAATGTCCTTTATTTAAAAATATGCTGACCATCTTCTTTCAAACTCTCTGTTCCAAGTAGAAGTATCCCTCTTGGTTGGTTGTGGTTTAAGTCCCTCTAGGTTTTAATTTCAAACCCTTCTGGTCCTTCAATAGCACAGCAAGCCTCTAGCAAGACCAAGATGCAGGTCATTGAGTGTATTAACAGAATAATCTGTCCTAGGTTCTCCATTCTCTTGCTTTGATTCTTGGCAACTGAGGATGAGGCTGAGTGTGAACATCCACAGCTGTGGGAAACATGGCCACTTCAGGGTGACCATCGTGCTGCCACCTGCTTGTGGGACATTGATATACCCAGACCCTACTATTTAGGACCCTTTTTCGGGGGGCGGGGGGTGGAGCAAGAAAAGGATGTCATGTAACTGGCAGGACATCAGTCTGTCCCTGGTGAACGAGATCACAAGAACTAGAAGCTGTGCTTTTCCTTGTTGACATTCAACTTAGTTGAGCCTGTGAAAAAAGTGGTGCAAGGAATAAATTGCCACTCGCCGTTGCTTGCCCTCTGTGATGTCGATTGACTCATGCATTCATTTACTCAACAAGTGTTTACTGACCGACCACCTGTGAGAAGCCACCTACGGTGCTAGGTTGTACTGTAGCTACAGCAGAGGAAAGAAGAAAATTCCTGCAGCATGAGGAACTGCTGGGGTCCTCCTGTGACAGGAGTCTGTAGGGATTCTGGTTAAGTCATCCTCCTGTCCCAGCACTCTTGGAGTTATCCCATTGCTTGTGCTAGATGCCCTAAGCGAAGTAGGAATTGAGGAAGCAGGAAATGAGGCAGGCAAATAATCCTTTCCTGAAATAGCATCAGTAGGTCCATGGTGATGTAAGAAAAAAACGTCTTGAAAGTTCCTGTTGCTGGTATAGCTCTGTGACGTCACTGTTTTTCTTTCCCCCACCTTCAGAATTCTCTACCGTAAACATCTCATCACTATTAGGGAACTCGATGAATTTGGTGAGGGAACTCCATGAGTTTGGTGAGGAACTGCAGAGGTCCTGCTGAAAATGCAACTTTTATGGTAATTCTAGTTTTGTAAATTTCAGCATTTATATTATTTCATTGAGAAGGCAAATATTCATTGATTCATTCCCCAAGTGAATTTCCCAAATTCCCCAAATGTAGTCAGGGCTAAGCCAAACTCAAGAGCCTGGAAATCAGTCTAGGTTACCTACCCAGGTTGCAGGGACCCAAGTACTTGACCCATTTTCTGCTGCCTCTGAGTGCACATTGGTAACATGCTGAATGTCTCAGAGGAGATGAGACATGAACCAGACATTCTCCTGTGAAATGCAGGTGTACGAGTGACTTCAGCACAGAGCCCAAGGCCCACCTCCATCCTCTGGGTGTGTGTTATCCAACTGAGAAAGAACCAATCAACAAATAAAATTTCTTCACGGTACATTCACTTTGTTGTACAAAGCTATCAGTAAATGAGATGGTAAATGTGTTTTGCTCTTTCTGAGCCATCAGCATTTATTAGTACTAAGAAGTCAGTTGTTGGGTATATTACTAAGGACATTTGTCAGAATCTGTTTTTATTTCCTTGTTTGCTTTGGTATATGGTTAACCAGATAAGAAATCGCCTCTCTGCTTTTTTTTTTTTTCTGTATTATTAAAAGAACTCTTAAAATGTTTGGTTCAAATATAAACCTTGCAGAGGTTTCCTTCTGCACTATTTGATAATAAATCCATGCAAGATGTGCAATGGCACGAGGACCTTATGCATCTTAGTGTGCTCAGGCCTCTTCAGCAAGTCAGTACCGCAAGTCACCCAGGCAGGCCGATAGCTTTTGGATAATTTGCTTCTTCTGAGAGACTCACAGGTTGAGGTATTACTCCTGTGATTTAATTCTGGGCTTCTGATAACAATATAGGCAAGCAAACATCTTTTTATCTGCCACAGAGAAAACCTTCAGTCTTGATGGATCATAGCAAAGTGAGCATGGTGGACCAGGAGACTGCCAAGTGGTTCTTATTCACACAGGAAATGAGGCTGGATGGCTTCTAAGATGACTGAAGCAGCAGATCCCTCTCAGAAGTGGTGATGCAGTCTTGCACAGCCCACGGGTATCATGTGGTGACACAGGGATAAAAATAACATAACAAATTTGGGGATTGGGTAGGGACAGAAACTACATAAACAGAGCAAATATCAGGAACGTATGAACCACTTTTTTAAAGACAAATCAGAAATATCAGCCAATGAATAGCTTAAATACATTTTTATAAGCTAGCAGGCCAGAGACTATATGAGATATACATGCTCCACTCAACCCATATGTGCATAAAAGCTATATACACACATGTGTGCAGATAAAACCCCATCATATGTTGGATACTTCTGAGTAAAACTGAGGTGCTTTTCCCCTGCCTGCCAGAAGGTTAATCTTCCACATAGTTCTGCAGTCAAATAAATGTTCAGGTGTATAAACATGCTCATTGGACACCTAATCAAGAGTACATATGATTGAACTTCTAGCTCAGGATAAGCACCTCTGGAAAGGACCAAGTGGCAGGAATTTATCACTCTTGGAGGGGGAATTAGAACACCTGGGCTTTGGTCCTGGCTGGAAGACAAACTTTCTAAGCAAGAGTATTTTTTCCTCTAATCTTTGAGGGGTCTCAATTTGTGCACAAGATTTTGCCGTAATGGTAAGAGCATGCTCCTTGTAGCTGGGATACCACACAAAATGCGATCTAGCATTCTTAAATGCGTGCCTTTTGTACTGATATTAAATTTCTAATGGGAAGAACATAGTCTCGTTGGTAATGATTCTAATTGATAATATCTGTTTTTTCCTGAATGGCTCTACGCTATCATTTACTTTTCGGTGATGTCTAACTCAAAGTGATGATGAAGAAAAAAGGAAATAATAGATGGGAGGTACTTAGGAAATGGCACATGGGGAACATTCCAACTCTAGCAGCATATGACTATGCCATGACTATGCTATACTCTGGGCTGGAATGAAAAAGAGCTATCCATGCTCTCTGCCCCTGTGGAACTCAGACTCATGAGGTACCAGTACCTACTCAGATGTGCAAGAATGGGAACTGGGGCTGTGGTGCCTCTAAATGACATACCTGGCTAGAGGGCGCAGGGACGACTGTCCCCAGCAGGTTGTTGCTCTTACAGCATAATGCCCACTTCAGACACAATTTGCTTTTAAGAGAAGGCAGGAAGTTACATACAGCCTTCCAAGTTGGAACAACTAAAACGAATGTGAATCAAACGATACACACTAAGGGCTAAAGGCAACCGGCAGGCTGGGCAGTACCAGTTCATAATCTTTCGACATGTTAGTTAACCTAGCCCAAATTCCTCACTTTTGGGGAGCAGTCTGAAGCAGATATAGGCAAAGATAGCTGGTTCATCTCTAATTCTTGGCTCCTCCACAACACGCACAGAATCGTTGATGTTGGAAATCTGAATGCAAAACTGCACACTAGGGGCTACGGCTGGAGTGAGCGCCAAGAGGGCTGGAGGATGGATGGGTGCCACTAGGATTCACAGTCCAAGGGGTCAGACCAACGCCTTCTGCCAGAGAACACAAGGACACTGCAGAGCACAGATAGATGAAGAGTTGAACACAATTTATTTTAGGCTTAAATAATCGGCTAGGTCATCCAGTGTATGGGATTTCATACATATGTCATTAGAGCTATGTGTCCATGAGTGCTGATTTTATGTGAAATAGAATCAACAAATGAAAGATTTTCACCAAAACCCAAATAAAAATGCCCTTGAAAACACAGCAGCCTTATAAACCTAATATGACACTGCTAGAATGGTTACAAATGATTGGCTTACTGAAAGGTGTCTACATCTTTTTAGCCAGTACACGATACAGTAATAATTTTACAGCGTGCTGCCATTCTACTAGCTAAGGATTTCAGTTGAGTCCATTTTAAATCCCCACTGGGGCTTCTTCTGCGCACATCCATCTCAAAAGCGGCAAGCATTACCCCCTTGGAAGTACTAACAGCACCCCCCACCCCCTAAAGCAACTACTGTATAGGTTAAATTTTTTTTTGTTGTTGTTCTTTTGAGGTTATTTCATTGAAAAATTGGCAATAGCAACAAATATTAGATGAGGGCTTTGTGTTTACAGATAAAATCTTTTGTGTTGCGGTATAGTGTTTGCAAAATTGGAAAAGGTTTAATCAAAATAAGGTAATACACATGCATCAAAATATTAGTATTCTGAAGATAAAAGGTTTTCACAGAACTACAGAATTCCTCATTTGGGGAATTATTGAAATTTGCAGCAGGTTTTAAAGATTTTTTGTTTTAAACCAAGCTAGCAGTTTTGCATATACAAACATTATAATTGCTAATATACAAGAATTGGTGAAGTTTCCCCTCCCAGAACCCCGCCCCCCTCCTAGGGTGAAGTGCCTGGAGACCCCTATTATGTTCAATGCATTTGCGAGAATTCTGTTCTGTGTTCTAAGAGGCAGTGCCTTATCAGCATTTTATTCTATCTTCTGTTAGGATTTATACAGTGTTACTATTTACAGCAAAACTATCCATGTTTTTAAAAAAGAAACAAGTAGTGTTTATACCCTGACAGTTTGGGTCCGAGAAAAATAAGGCGAGCTGTTGTGGATTTAGTAATTTTAGTGTTTTCTCTGTGGTTTGATCGTCTCCTTTCGGTCTCTTCCGGAGGCAGGAATTTCTTCTGTTGTGACACCAAATTACTTGAGATAAACTGTTAACAGCATGGCTTCTTGTATATACAACTGCATTGCTAATTGCACACGTGCCGGTCCTGGAAAGGAAAGTCAACTTCCATGCTCTGTAAATTGGCTCATGCTAAATGAAAATGGGAGTGGTTTTTTTTTTCTTTTTCTTTTTGCATAAAAAGATCATGCCATTAATGTGTGGAAGCAGCAAACACACATAGTCTTCTCTGAGTTTTTCCTTCCTGATGATAGTTTTTCCACCAATTTCTCAACACTGGCAGTAACACACATGATCCTGTGGAAAGACAAACAGCAGTACATAAGTTAGCAGGTGGTGGGAAGGTGGTAAATGTTTATTCTCAGGTACCTGAAAGGCAGAGAGACATCAGTCTACTGGCTCACTTTCCAAATGTCTGCAAATAGTTATGCAGGCCTAGGTCGAGCCAAAGCTAGGCATCCAGATATTTCACTCAGGTCTCCCACGTGGGAGGCAGGGACCCTAGCACCTGAGCCATCACCTGCTACCTCTCGGGGTGCACTGGCAGGAAGGTGGAGTGGAAGCAGAGGAGCTGTGTCTCAGCCACTGTCATACAGCAGAGAGATGCTTCAATCGGCTGCCTCACCTGATGGGCTACAAAATCCACCAGCTTTCATTTCTGCTTTGCTGTTTGAAGCAGAACTTGCCTACACTTTCCTTGACATTCAGAAGGAGTCATGGAGACTGGGGCCTCCCACTTTTGAATGGGGTGGCTTAAACATGACTTCACAGTGGCTGCATGCTCAAGGCCTCAGAGGACAAGGCCCTACAGCATGTGGGGAGTCATCTAGAAGACCCTGTAACCTAAAAGGAAGCTTGTGTATTGCATGTGTCATTTTGGATACTGACTTAGTGTTTCTGGCTCAGTCTGTGAAGCTCGGATTCCTCAGCTACAGCCCAGTCCAATCCTGCCATTTGTACAATGAGGTTGCTTTGCCTGCTGTAGGCAACAGCTTAGGTTGCCTTGTACCTCAGCAAGTGTTACACAGCTGGGAGAAAAGAAGCCAGTAGCTGGAGGACATCCTGAGCCTGCTTAATGTCAAATTTGTGTGCCCTCACAGTTGCCTATTTTTTTCAAAGATATGTAGGAGGAATGGGGACCATGGCCCCCAGCCTAGTTCAGGCCGGCCTACATGAGTACCATTTGGCACTGGGCACCAGAACTGTGGATTGACCAGGGAAAGGGGCAAGGGAACATGTGAGGGGGAGGACTGCTGAGGGAATATGTTGCAGGTGAGGAATGACTTCTGAGGGACTTCCATCAACAAGGTCACTGAACTTGCTGACTGTGGAGTGCCTATGGAGCAGTGGATGGTGTGCCCAGATGCACATGGGGGATATGGCAGTACAGTGGGGTTCTGCAGAGGACATCTGGTACCATAAGAAGATGGAGGTTGGAATTAATTGGTCAACTCTAAGGTGGACTCTTAAGGTAGACTGTATCAGCCAATGGATCTTGGAAGGATTTCCTCATTCTTGGATCTGTGCGATCAATAGTATTTCGGATCTATAAAAACCACCTGAACAGAACCCTTGGAGCATGCTCCACACTGGGGGGTCCTGGGATGACACTGGGTGGCTGTTCCCCTTCCCAGGGTACTGAGGCATGTGGGAGGCCAGGGGTGGTTTATTCCCCTCTTTCCCCTTCCCCCAGGTACAGAAAGAAGAAAAAGAAAAATTGAAAAGTGATCTCACCCATTTTCTCCTCATCCTCGACCCTTCCCACCCCAACCAACTATGGAAACATCAACAAAAATAAAATTTAAATAGTATTTTAAAAAATGGTTGCTGGGTGATCTGAGATGTTTACCAATATAAAAATGTGAGGGATCTGGGGCTTTGATGGGCACAAAAGGCCAGGGATGTGAAGTCAGTGTAGAAGTGGTGAAGCTGTTTTTGTGCCATGGACCACCCCTTCCTTCTCCTGTTACACATCAGTCATACTGGAATGAACTGATTTTGTTCGGCATTTTTTGGTTTTTGTAATGGAGGTTTTACTGAGAATGTGTCGTCTTACTGGGTGGGTTCCCCACTGAGCACCATTCCTGGATTGCCAGGGTGAATATGTGAACAAGAATCCACATCCTTTAGCAGAGGTCTTCCAAGACTTGTTCAGCCCTGTTCTTGTTTGAATTGCTCCTCTGTAGAGCACAGATCCTTCTACATACAATCCTGCTTTCCCATTCAGCGTGGACAGCTGATGCCTGCCTGGCTCAAAGACAGAGCCTCTATAGAGATTCTGAGGCAGCAAGTACTTCAGGGGTAGTCCTGTTTACCCAGTGTAGATGCAACTACCCATGTCAGCAGATTTAGACAAGCCTCCCTGGTGATTCCAGAGTGTTCCCAGCTGCCTCCATGTTGTCCAACGACCCTGGACAAGTTCCTTGATAAGGATCACGTGGGATACCTTGGCCTGGGGAAACGGGCAAGTGTAGCACTTCCTGTCTGCCTTATGGAGGATGCAATTTATTCTTTATTAGCATTAATTTTTTGTTATAAGTGTCATTAACCTTCACGCCCCAGTCACTAATGCTTGGAGCCAAGAACATCAGAGTATCAATTCCTTCTGGGTGATTTATGTGCCATCCACCCTGCCCCCAGCCCATGACTCTGGAGGATCCAGAGAAGGAAAGTGACTCATTTGAGCAGATCATGACACAGAGCAGGCAAAGCACAGTAAGATCAGGATTTCCACAGATCTGTTCTTACCCGTTCATCCTAACCTGGCAGGCACCAGGCTTCTCGGATGTTCCCCTAATCATGTTACCACAGTGCTCACTCTTCTATTTTTTTTAAAGGGAAATCAGCAATTTTCTTTAATCTCCCCTTTTATACCTTGACATAGAATGTATATATCCTATTTAACGTACTGTAAATACATAGTTGGATAATTTTTAGTGAATTCATAATGCTTTATTGCCACTAGACCAACCCAACTTCCTCTTTTAATTTTGTAATGAGCAAGGTCATTTTTTTTTTATCTCAAGGGAAGCAACCATTATCTAGATACAGCAATAAGTTTTTATACTTTAAAAAATGCTGTTAATTATGCTCTTGTATATCTGGGTTACTGAGATTTTAAAGTTAATTCCCCTTATGTCTCCTGTTCTTGATGGTGTAACCAGAGTATTGGTCTCGGCTAAATGGAGTGTAGGAAGGTCATACACTGAACCAAAGACTTCATATCAAATACCACATTGCATAAAAAGCCTGAAAGCTTTGACTAAGTTGCTATGTGCGCTTTAAAAAAAATGGGCACTTAGTATAAACTGTGATGAGAGCGCCCTCTGATGGGAAGGTATGAGGGCAGGAACTTTTCAGAAATAGAACTTTGAACAGAAACCCTTCCTGGTTTTAGCTGATGACTATGAGAAAAACACATTTGCATTTAAGAATCTTTCTTTAGATTTTATATGGCGCTCAAAGCCAAAAGAGGGAGATACAAACTCAGAAAGCAATTATTCCTTTATGCCATTTCCTATATTTTTTTAAACAGAAAATTTGCAGTTTTAAGAAATCTTTTCAAGAAAATCAGCAATCCAATGGATTTCCATGGCGATTATTTCTCACATTAATATTGTACTTTATCATATCTTTAAATGAGGAGTGTGCTTAGGTGCAAAATTGATCTAAGCTCATGAATATCTTATGGTTTTTAGCTCAAAGCCTGAGTTAAGAAAATCTGGAAGTGTGTGTGGTCTAGCTTGGAGAACATTTGTACATATAATTGTCACTACTCTTCACCAAAACTTTGTTTCATGGTCTCGAATGACTGTCATTCTTGGCTGAACATTAGGATGATTTGGGAAGATTTAAAACGTGTACACGTCCATGCCACAGGACATGTTTATGAAACATGGGGTTTATAAAAACTTTCTTGGAATGTGACTGAGTATAAAAAGTTCCAAAGTCTAGACTGCAGCGTCCAAGCGAGGCTGAGAGCCAGTGACGTATGCTGGGGCACTGTGAAGTCTAACGTGCCTCTGTACCAGCTGGGATTCTGATTGAGCAGGCGAGGGGTGACCTGTGACATGGTAAATTTCCTTCAGACTCCTGGGGATGTCAACCTTGTGGGTCTACAGCTTTCACGTGGAGGATCTAGATGGTTGTCAACTTGTGGTTTTCTAACATTTCTCTTTGGTCATGGTTCTGTAACCACCTACGTTTCACTAAACTTCTATATGTAACTCCACTTGCACTTGGTTTCAAATGCCAGCCCGTCGGACAGGTATTTAGCTTGGTGAGTAAGATGCAAATTAAGATGCTTGTGTCCGATATTGGTGTATTTGGGTGCCTCACCCAGCTCTGGTGTCTACTGCTAGCTTCCCACTAATGCACTTGCTGGCAGGCAGTAGTGGTAACTCAAGTGACCGAGTCCCTGTCTATAAAGCCAAAGATGTAGCATGCATCTTCCCCTTTGCCTTGTTTTAAATCAAGCTGCTGGGCCTGGTGCAGTAGCCTAGTGGCTAAAGTCCTTGCCTTGAACATGCCAGGATCCCTTATGGGTGCCGGTTCTAATCCTGGCAGCCCTGCTACCTATCCAGCTTCCTGCTTGTAGCCTGGGAAAACAGTCAAGGAGACCTAGAAGAGGCTCCTGGCTCCTGGCTTCGGATTGGCTCAGCTCCGGCCATTGTGGCCGCTTGGGGAGTGAATCAATGGATGGAAGATCTTTCTTTCTTCCTCTCTGTATATCTAACTTTCAAAAAAAAAAAAGTAAAATCTTCAAATCAAGCTGCTGCGGAGCCAGTCTAAACATTCACTTCCAAGAAGTTTTTCAAATGTTTGAGATAATTACATCTTCCAGTAGATCCCTCTAACATTTTCTTTGTATCTTTTGTAACAGTTACATATTTTGAGCTATTTATGTGTGCCTCTTAGAGGAGACTCCAAAGTTATAGCAGACAAGAATTCCCCAAAATCATTGTCAGAATGATGTCTTAAACAGTGTATTCATCCCATCATGTATCTTGTCCCTAAGCTGCACAGTGAAAGGATTCTAAGTGTACACCTTCACTTAGTTGAAAAAGCTGGTCAGTTCACATGTATTACCGGAAAGTTTCTTTCATCCACTACCGTGAAGTTACACTGATGAAAACATTTTGGGGTAAAACCAAACAAACATACTAGATGAGCGAGAATGAATAGCTAGGCAGTATTGGATGGAGTCGGAGAACATAAAATGGCTTAGAATTTTGAAGAAAGGGTGAGGAAAAAGCCGGAGCTCTCTGAGGGAAATAGGGACACAGGGACGCCTTGTCTACACATTGCTTTTTGCTGTTGTCCTGCACGCCCAGTTCTAAGCCATTTCTCTGCTCACTCCGCTTTCCCTCTCTGCGATCGCAGCTACTCTGTGGAATTCAGGAGTTGAGTACCCAGCGCTTCACGGAGGACTCCCAGATTTCCTGTGTCCAGTTCCAATCCTTCTTCAGGGGTTCAATGTTTATCTAACAAATCCTTGAGTGATCACAAGCATGTCAAGCTCCAGTGCAAGTCCAAGGGCCTGCTACTTTCCTTAAAACTCGTGCCTCCTCCACGCCTCCTTTCTCTGCCACCTAGGTACTTCCAACAGAAGCCTTGGAGTCCTTGCCTAAACCTTCCTTCTCTACCCTTCCCCACGTTAATCTCTCAAGTGCTGTCACTGTAAAACTAGAATCCAGATCTGAGACCAGCTCCCCTAACTGGTCACCTTCATTTTATTATCTCTATGTTCATTTTCTAAGTGCTCCTATAAAAGGAAGGAAAATGCACACAGTTCAAGATTAACCCTTTTAAAAACTCCTTCTAAGGCTTTAGATTCTTCTTAGGTTGAAATGTAAAACCTTTATCTGATGCAGGGGCTCTGAGTCCTGGTGCCTTTGTCACTTCAACTTGTAGCTGCCTCTCCTAGCATGAATTCCCCAGAGCCTGGCAGGTAGAGAGAGACACGAGTGGTTTGTGTATGTGTGTTTCTTTCCAATACTGGAGGCCTTTCCCTACTGCATGTGCCGTCTCTGCACATCTTGATATTTGCCTGGGGTCCTCTCCCTAGAAGGTCTTCAATGTCATGACTTCACAGAAGCATGCTGCAATGTGTAAAATTAGAAACTGGATTTTTAGTGCTTAAACAACAGGAGCGAATGAAAATATAACACGGCCTCTATTATTTGTCCCATCTCTTCCCTTTGAGTGAACCAGGGCATCCAGAAAGGCTGAGGCTGTTTAGACAGGTCCTATTCACCATTCTCTCTGGTTAATCTATCGCCAGCAAGGCAGGTGGTCATGTTCTTTGAAGGAATGAATGAAATGAGCCAACACTTTAGCCTTGGGTAAAGTGCTGCCCTCTGGTGAGCACTGTGGGCATTCTTGGCTTCCATTTGGCCGTGAGATCCTGAGCATTTTCCTAAAAGTGGCTTGGATTGTAGCTGTTTGTAAATAGAAATCTGTGTCCTGGCTTTCATGTGAGGACCTTCCTTTGTCATGATCTCACTGATCAGCCCTCTAGTGATATTTCAAATAAAAATGCAGGGCTCTTATTGATACATTGGAAGGAGGGGGATGAGGTGGGGGGTGCCTGCTCTTTCTTAAACTTTATTTCCTTAAACTTTTTAAATAGAATTTTAAAAGTGAGAGTGTTTTCATTGTATAAACTATGAAGAAACTTACTGTGAGTTGCTTTTGTCCATGTATTTGAAGCTTTGCTTTGAATCTCTCGTACTTAACTACTCACAATAATAAATATTACTTGATAAGAGTTAACAGATCTTTAAAGAGATCAAATTTCATCCTATTGGTCCTCAGCTATGGGCCTTTGCCAACTTCAGTTACTTGATTTCTTAAAACCAAAGAGTATAATAGTTACAGTAACCTTGCTGGGATTACATAAAGGAATATGATTTTTATCTAGTGTGTGGCATACAGGAATCATTTAATTAAAAATGCCTGTTGTAATAATAGAGGGCTGATTGCATTAGAAGGGCATAGACTGAGAGCAGTCTGAAGTTGTAGCTCTGTCACGCACAGGCTGTGTGGGTGCAGACACGTCCTCTGGCCTCCCTGAGCCAGAGTGTCCTCCTCTGGAGAAGGCTGCAAGCCAAACTGGCCTGACCCACCTCCTCCTGCCTAATTGGAGGACTAAGACAAAATGTACACATACTTTCAAAATCATAAATGCCTCCATACTGCATAAAATGTTTAAAGTAGTTGGCTGATCTCCTTAAAAACAGGATGCTTGTGAATTAAAGAAAAGCAGGTACAGAATTCAGAGCTCAAAATTGAACTTGTCTTAAAATGAGTAGTAAAAATTCAGATGTGACCCTCCTAGGTTCTGTGACATCTGGCAGCATTTCACTTGCATAGTTGTTTTATAATGTTAAAAAAAAGGCAGCCATCAGGATCATACAGACTTTCTTGATTTGCAAATTATTTTTTCCAGAGTATACATTTAATGTCCTGGAACTCCAGGCAATATTCTGGGAATAATTTCCTAGGATCACTTATGGGAGGCAGATTTCATGCTGGGAAGTAACATGACACTTGCTCTCCCATCACGGAGTCTTCCTTCTGAAATATTACATTTGTTTTACGTTGAAATGACTTTGGCATTCATCTGAGTTAATCCATCTGCATTTCTGTCTATGTGGAGTGGTGGAGCACATGCACCTGGCAGCTTCACAGGATGACTGCTTGTCATTTGAAGCCTCTTGTATAGCTAGTGGCCAGATCATTTGGATAGTAACACATTTTAATGGGCCCTGGAAGTGGATCACTGTCATACACTTTTTTTAGTTTAATTCATTCATACATATTAGGTATATGTTCTATATTAGGTGTATGACCTATAGAAAAATGGCTTGACATATGTAGGTGACTTTTCTGGTTTTCTCCTACTTGGAGTCTGAGTATGTGATTAAAATAAATTCTTGAAGTTTTAGGAATATACTAAAGCTGACTGAACCCCTTCCTACTTGTACTTCATTTATTAAGTGTCCCTTAAAGACATGCAATCAGGCCAGTCAACTTGAGCTCAGTGTTGGATGAATCTGCTGTGTTGCTCTTTTGCCAGGTTCAGCAGTAGGACGTACATGATGGGTGGGTCTCACTCTACGTATTGCTACACTGTTGTCATCTTGAGCTTTCTCATCTTCCACTTTTCTCTTTCCATACAAGGCAAGTTGTGTCTGTCTGTCTTGATTTGGCCATCCTCACTGCCAGTGTGGGCATCTTGCAGGAGTCTTTCAATGGGGTTTCTGTGCCTCCATTTCTGTCCCCTTCCCTGCAGCTGAAGTGAATGATGCAGGACTTGCATCCTATCCCATCCTTGCCACCTTCACTGGTTCCAGCCGGTGAGAGGATGAAGGCCAGAATCCTTACAGAAATGGCCAACTCCTCCTCACCCTTTAAAACGCAGCTCAGGCACCGCCTTATGGAAGCCTTCCTCATATCCAGTGAAGATGGGAGACCATGTGGGCTCTAGGCCAGCTCGCTAGGGTTGGTAGCCTACTTGGGCCACTTTCACGCAAGTGTCTTAGGCCAATTCTTTAACTATTTCAGGCCTCTTAATTATCTGCCAAGTGGGGACAGCAAGGACATCTCTTTGAGGGCTAGCTGTCAGTTAAATGAAGTGCATACCTAAAAGACTTACTAGAGAATATAAATACTATTTCCAGAGCTTTCTACAGTCCTTAGCAGTTTTCTCGGTGCCATTAAATGCTGCTGTAATTGGTGGGTGGTGACTATTATAAATTTTTCAAACCCAAGTTGTGTGAGAGGAAGGGCCATGATAGTGCTGACCAGTGGACTTATGGGTGTCTAACAGAAAGCCTGAGAGAGAGGAAGTGAGATACATTTAAGAGCGACTAAACAAATAAGAGGGTTAGGGAGAAGAGAAATAAAAACTCAACAGGGCCTAAATTATGTCAGATGCAAAATCAGGGCCCGTGGTGCCAGAAGATCTCTAGATTGCTAATCTTAAGATGTGACCTACTAGGATTCTGCTAAGCAGGGAGCAGCCAATATGTGAAAATGAAAGACTGGAGCTTGTTTGCACTTCAGTTTGACCTCACCAGAATTAATGAAGGACTCTGCTGAAGGACTCTGTCTTGTTATCACCCTAACAAGACAAGATAAAATGTAAAAAATAGCAAAGGAAAAGTATGACATAAAGAGGTTTAAGTTAAGCTCCCTTACTAAATGTTGACTTTTAAAAACAAATAGGGTTTTGATTAACTGCTTAATTTCTGTTTTGTGATTCTATCAAATATCTAATGTGGTATTGGGGGGTCTCAATCATTTAATTCAGCTTTGGCCACCCCATAAGTTCAACCAAAATGATATCCATGGGTGTTCTTGGCCACAAGGGCTAAAGGCTGTATTAATAAATCTCGCATTCTTTCTTGCCAAATAGTCCTTCCATGAGACACTAGAAGGCTACTGCATTCCAGAGGAAGAGGAGATTGAAAAGTCACTATTTCCATTGGCTTCTGCAAGCATCATCTACATTTAAGTTCCTGCCTAATCTGTGAGGAGAAAATTCCTGACACTGGCTCTCAGTCCAAGTTTTAGTGCTTACATATAGATGTATGCATATATAAACATAAAAGCTTGAGGGGTTTCATCCTGGGTTTTCAAAACTGGAATTGAACGGAAAAGAGGAAGGAGAAGACCTGAATCACTTCAACTGTGAAATGTGCAAGCTTCCTAGTACTTGTACTGTGGCTGGGAGCACCCTGGACTGACCGTTCACTCTTAGGAGTAGCTCTTCTTTTCCACGTGCCGGATTTCTTTCTTTGTCTTCACCTTATAAGCTTCTCCCTGCTTGAGAAGGAACAGACACATTCAGATCTCACGGCAAAAGGGCTGGAGTTATAAATCCTTCCACTCCGGCACCCTGGAGGCTGGATTAGCGATAAGTGAAACAGTTTAGAGCACTTGGCCACTTAATGTTCCAAAACGATCATCTCTCGGGCTTCACCACACAGCATAGCCTCATCAAGGCAAGCTCAAGAGCACTGTCAAAATACAACACCGTTGCGCTTCACAGGAACTCAGCAGGTTAGTGATGCTTACAGAAACGCACAGTCTGTCCACTGGCTAAAGCAAGCTGGAAAAACACCATCACAAGAGCTCACAAGATCCATTTTTTTCTTTTAAAATAACAGGAAGTCATAAATTGTATGTGTTTAAACCAGCAGATATTTAATCTGCTTTCATGAAATTTCTCAGTCAAGTACAAATTAAGAACAGAACCCCATAGAAGTGCTGTTGGGCAGAGGAGCATTTGTAAATAAGAGGATATGGGATTTACTAATGCCTTTCCCTGACTCCCAGACAATGGCCAGGCTGCTATACAAACACTCGGGTTTGACCCCATATGTAACAGGAAACATGGCAGCCTTTGCAACTTTCTGATTTAGTCCTTCTGAAAAATTTTCAATTCCCTTTTACTTTTTCTTATGCACATAGGTGAAGTTTCTATTTTAAGAGTTCAAAGGGTAACGCTTTGAGAAACGCAGAAACGTAAACTATGCCGAGATGTTTTTCCTCCGTGAGATGTGCATTGCTTTGGTGAGTGACTCAGTCTTGATTTTTCTCCTTTGGAACACTGGATTTTTCATGCAGAATATGCCAGAAAGGGAAAAATGTATACGTCTAATTTAGGGGTTTTGACTCAAGCTCTTGGTGATTCTAATGTTGCAACTCCATGAATCTAGAATGTTCTCCATCCACGTTCCTGGATGACACTCAAGTGAAGATGGGGTACTGGGCAGAGTTAGGGTCCTATTGATGATCAGGGTGGGAAACAGTATGCTTCTCTGTCTGTCCCTGGCATACTGTCTTATAAAGAACTTCTCTAAACTTAGAAAACACTTTCACATATTGTTACATAAAATATATATAATACGAAAGAACACTAGCCCAAAACTCTTTCCCTTTGTGATCAAATGCATAGCATGTCAAAAGCAGCAAAGGCTTTAAGGTGCCACACTGCAGATGCCAGCCTGTTAGCATTTTCTAGGGAGTGCACAAAGCTTGCATCCTGGTTTTTCCTTGGCAATCCCTCTCCATTTACCACTTCATCTTGTTTTCTCTCTTGTGGGACAATTCGTCTTATTACTTTCCGAGTGATCTGTAGGAGGCAATAAGGAAAAGTCGAGATTGCTTTTCTGTTTGAAGCAGTGACGCCCCAGCACACAGAGAGCACTGTTTTTAAGGCAGAGAGCAAATTCCAGGGGAGCATGAACTGTCAAAGCTGATTACTTTTCTGGTGATGAGGTTGCCTTCTTCATCAGTAAACTGTTCTTCTGTGACAGATTCACCAGGAATGTTTTTGGCTTCCTCTCCCTAAAGGATGTGGCACAGAGATTAAAAACACACTGGCTGGAGAAATAGCCACACACCCGGGCAAACACCACACGCATGCTCTGGAGTCTTAGAACGGCAAGTTCTGCATCCTACTTGCTACTCTGGTGTCAGGGAGGAAGGCTGACTCTGCAGGTGGTTATGTAGCACGCATTGCAACCAAAGCAATAAACCTCAAGGGTCTGTGAGAAGGATGGTTAGCAACAAATTCCAAGAAAGGAGTATTGGGAGATAGGTAATATTAGTACACACAATGACACACACATAGCCAAAAGCTCTCACTTGCTGAAAAAAAAAAAAAAAGCACAGCCACGGATCTGGAGTTCTGGCTCCATTGTATCTCTAAGAATGTGTCTTCATTAGTGGTACCTTATCTCCAAAGGAGATTGTTGTGGATTGGGTTTTATCTCACTTGCATTAAGACTGTCCCCGAGTTGGAGCATACTGAATCACTCTTGTTTAAGTATTCAACAAAAGCCAGGGGAGAAGTTCAGAGTACAGAGGAAATTTTTGGACTAAATGTTCCAAAGGTCTTAAAATTAGTGACAATAACTGTGCTGACGTATAGACAGCTGAAGAGCTGTGCCCTTGCACGAAAGGGTCTTATCGTGACTATCTTTCTGGGCAAGGCAATGGGAATAGAGAAACACATCAAGGATATTAAGAGCTTATCTTTCAGTTATTAACTAATCAGATTTTGCAAGGGGAACTGCCAAAGATAGTCTGTGGGTCTGAAACATGAATACTTTCTTTGCTCGCTGGAGAGCTCCTGTTTTCCTGGCCATAGGCAGCTTGCAGGGTTGAGCTGGTTTCCCTACATTGGCTAACTCCGATGGTCTACTAAAACTGACCACTTAGCAAAACTGGACTGCATCTGAAATACTTGGCCTGCTCCACCACTGTTTGACTTCTAATGCATGTCACTCGTGGCTTTGGAAAACAAGGACAAACACTGGCAGGGTACTCAAAGGCCAGGGGCCAGTTGAGTTAGCAAAGTTCTGTGACAAGGAGAAATGTATACAGCTACAATGCAATGTGCACATAGGATTTTTTTCTGGGGTTAAAAAGGGCAGATCATAAAGACTATTACATGCATTGAAAGCCAGGATTCCATTTTATCAGTAGGATGGACATGAAAAAAATAGTTTTGCTAATTTTCAGAGTGCTGACCTATGGCAAGAAAATTTTGTGATAATCAAATTGTCACCACCAACAGCAATGTGGTTCCAGAATAAAGACCATAGAACTGTCTTGTCTTGGTAGCACTTTTTCTTTTTTTTTCTGATTACAAAGTGACTTTGTATCTTAGGTTGTTGGTGGCTAATGTCACAACAGAAACTGGGACCTAAGATTCACTTTGCCTTATGTGTATAGGTAGGTGAGAAGGAAATACAACACGATTGCTTCTGGCCGCTTATGCTTGGCTCCGCTGTGATTTTGCTCATGACTAATTTCAACTAGCCAGCTAAGAGAGGAAGAAATTGGAAAAATGGTGAGTCTCATATCTAAATGCATAGAATTCTACAAGGTTTTATGGGTGTGTAAGTCATCTTTCCTGTAGTTCTATTTATCTGGCCAAAAGCCACAATTTTGTTAAAAAGATGGAAAACATTCAAGAAAGCTTTTGTTTTAGCTAACGTCCTCCTTCCCCCGTTTTTGTTAAGTATCCTAGGCTTTGATGGGTAGAGTTGTAAGATCCCAGGAAAATGCTTCAAAATGGTCTTACTGGGTATGTTCTGAATGGACTGTTTTGTGGGAAAGATGGTGATTTTTCAGTTGCTTGGACAGTCACTGGGATGTGAGGTAAGTATAGTGTACACATGCAGAGATACCGAGTTCCATGATTAGCCTTAGAAGAGGCAAAGTCGTCTTTACAAATAGCAAGTCCCTAAAGTTGCCCAGAGATATTATGGATAGTCCTTTTCATTCTTTCATGGTGAAAATTCCTACCATTATGTATAACATTAAAGTTAAGGTATATCTTTGTCTTTAGTGATCAGTAAGTAAAAGCAACTATTACTTTCTTAAGGCCAAAATAAATGGCCCGAATATGCAGAAACTCACGGCAGTGTGGGAACACATTAGTTCTGAACTAGGTAGATCAACAGGAAAGATGGGGAGGAATCAAAATAGGTTTCACAAATATTCACCCACTTCTCAGAGAGCTGGCTTTACTTTGGGGAAATCTGAGGCCTCTTTTTAACAAGGCAGTATAATCTCCATTTAGTTGCTTAAGTTCCTCAAACAGTTTGGAGGGAATTTTGTTACTGTTGAGAAGACCTCTGTGTTCCTACATTATTTTTTTGGCAACCTCAACCCCTTTTTTCCTATTCCCATTGAAAATTACAGCACATACGGTGTTGCATTTTCATCTCTGCCCTCCTTTATGAAGACTATTTTCATTTGGATGCCTGGTAGAAACAGGGGATTTTGGAATAATTTTTCTTTCCTTTGGTTTTTTGAGTAAAAGACTTGAGTATCCAAATGAAATGCATCAATTTGCTTTAATGGGCAAGTCAGGACTTTCACAGTCCACAAAATGACAAGATATTTTATAAAAAGTAAGTTACCAAACAATATGTAGAGTTCATGTTCATATTCTAAAAACCTACTAGCCAAGGATGTGTGTATTCATGGACAAATATATTAATAGTTGTATGCAAAACAATCTGAAGATCATTAAATAAAACTATACTTTGGAATTGCTTGATTTGGAGAGAAACATATGTGAGAGCCAGCAAAAATGTTACAAAAAAGGAAAAAAGCCCTCATTTATACACTATATTCATATAAAAATGTAGTTATTTGAATCTTACTAAAGTTCATAACAATTACTGGATTTCTTAAATGTAAAATAAACTTCGTAGAAAATACATGACTCTTACGTATAAAAACAGGGAAAAATTACAAAATGCTATTTGTGCTCTGCCAGACAGATTTGCCCAGGCTGTGGTACTGGAATCCTGGGAACACCTACTGCTGCTCCTGGGAGGTGTTTCTATCCCATAGCTGCTCTGGGCCAGGAATGACCCTAAAATAGTTTTCAGTGAGGGCTCAGACAGGACGGGCTAGGGGGATTACTAGGGCAAACACTCTAACCATGCTGGTTCAGTGGAGGGTCGGCAATGTCCCTGGAGTAAGTCACATTCCCAGCATTCCAGTGCCATCACATAGTTTCCAGCAATCACAGGGCAGCCTTGGGTTGAATGGCCCAACGCCTGATTAAGTCTAGCAAACGGTATTTCTCCTTATTTGTTCTAGAAGAAGATAGACGGAAGTCAGTGACTGCAAGTATAATGGCAGCTGTTAGAAAGTAATGATGTGGGTGAGTATGTCATATGCTAAGCAAAATCAAATTGCTTAATGTTGGGTGGGCTTTTTCTCGATAGTTCCACTTTGAAATTTCTTTACTGTAAGGCACCAACTAGAGTAACAAAACATGAGAAAAAAACGTACAGTTTTTAATTCCTTCACAGAAAGAGAACCTATGAGTGTTGACTGATGGAAAGGATTTTATAAATAGCTAGGTAATGGTAAATAATTTGGCTTCCCTACATGGAATTTTCAGAGAAATAACAAATGCTATTTTGAGAACATGCTTTGGACCCCTGGTTGATTGTTGGGAATTTCATGAAATTTAGACAAAGACTTGCTTTCTTGAATGTTTTCAGAGTGGTAGGAGAACTCTTCTCTCATCTAATCTCAAAGTACAAGGCAGCAGGATTGAGAAATCGGGAGTCTCTCAGCCCAGTACTCCACTCCATTGGTTCAGCTGACACTGGAGGACTGGTTAAGATTGGCAGATGGTTTTGAGATTTCCATTTTTCCTCTATAGTTACCAGCTAAAAAAACCTCAAGTTGGTTCACATTCAAGTCTGTGCATTTAGAATGGCTCCCTACTTCTCAGAACATCAAGATTTTTCCAAGACAGAGTGGTGTAGGCAAGTGCAGAGATCGAACAGCATTCTGCTGGACTGTCCAGCTGTAAGGCCAGTGCTTTACAAGGCCTTGGTGGCGCAGGAAAAAAAGGCTCATGGCATTTTCAATCCTATTGTAATTGGATGGATGTTCCCCCTTTAAGAGTCACATCTCTTAAAAATAGAGCTTTACGATTATTATGTTAGTAAAGTGAAAAAGCATATTTCAGAAGTTCTTGCTTGGCTTCTGTTATGTCACATCCATGTGACCATGGATGACTAGGGAAGATGAAGAGCTAGTTTTTGTATCCAATGAAGGTAGCAAGAACTTGAGATTCAGAAGGAAACGTTGTAATTTTTTTTTCCTTTTTAAAAAATCTCACCTCATACTTGATTAAAATGGCTGAGGGTCCCATCGAACATTTCTTTTGATGTGAACTAACCCCTTCACAAGACAGAAACCTCATTCACACTGACAACGTTCCTCCAAGGAAAGCAAGACAGAAGTGCCAAGAATTCTCAGGTAAAATTACAGCGGCCACACAGAAATCCTCAGTACCATGCAGCACAAGTTTCCCTTGCAGCTGGTTGTTTTCGCAAGCTGTCAGGTATGCAGCGAGACATGAACACGGCCACTTAGCTGCCAGGCATGCTGGTTTTTCCAAGGTACGTGAAAGGACTTGCTGAGAACACAGCACTGCCCGCCGCGGCCCAGCCACGGAGTACCTTCAGAATCAGTCGCCGGCGAGTAACTCGGGTAATCACCCTTTCTTCCTCTGAGCTCGACTCACTCTCACTGTCTTTCCAGTCCTGATAAATGCATGTTTAGTATAATTTTATCATCAGAATAGAATTAGACATTCTGAGAAGGGAAATCAAGAAAGAATTACATTTACTTGTTGCTTTTTTCCCTACTGAGGGAAACCATGAGGTGCACTTGTCAGCAAAAAATGGGAGAAAATATATGAGGATTTACAGTGAGATAGTTCTGTGTGTGTGAGTGTACATACATATACTTACACATCAATGGAGCTTAAAGATCAAGATACGTAAACCAAATTATTAAATAATAATAAATACTTTTGGAATCAAGTAAAATACCATTATCAGTTTTTAAAAAAGTGTATTTTACTTAAAAATATTTTCAAAAATATGTATTTTACTTGAATCTATAGTCCTGTAATTTAGGTTACATAACTTTCGAAAGAAATATTTCTAATTTTCATGAAATTTTGGTAAAATTTGACAACTTTGTCAGCATGTTTGTACCAATGAGTTTACTCAAATAAATGAAACCATGATTATGGTTCATAGATAAGACTGCATATGTATATTTAGAAAAATAAACATAGGAATGAGAAAGAAATTACCAAGTGGCAAATAGTTTATACACTGTCTTTAACTTCTGCCTTGATGCCATGAACAAGACTATTTATTGGCGGCTTTGTTCCTAAATTTTAAAGTTGGAATTCTGAAAATAATTTCCAAGTTTACTAGTTAGCCCAAATCTAATGGTCCTGGAGATAGGAACTAGCATCCCCCCAGGAAAAATGAACCTCATCATTGGTAAAATAGTGGAAACCTGTGTTAGGAGGTTTAAGTATTAGATGAAATGAATCATGAAATGCTAGTAGAATTGCCACTAAGCTAGGCCATTGTATTCACTGGAGAAAAAAAATATATTGTAAATATTTTTTTTACAATACACTTTAGCTTGGGGAGGAATTCGATCAGGGCAAAATGTGGCTTAAAAAGGAAATAGAAGAAGTCAGAGTTGTAATGTGGTGGGTTAAGTTGCCACCTAATTCTGACATTCCATTTGAGTGTCAGTTTAAGTTTTGGCTGCTCTACTTCTATTCCAGTTCCTGTAAATATGCCTGGGAAAGCATCAGAAAATGGCCCAATACTTGGGTTTATGTATCCTCCTGGGAGACACAGATGAAGTTTCTAGTTTCAGATTTTGGCCAGATCTAGTCCAGCCCTGTTGAGGCTCCTTAGGGTCTGAAGAGCAACTGGAAGATCTCACACAGCTTATCAAACACATAAATGAATCTTTAAGGAAAAGAAAGTAAACAAGAACATAGCAGCCAATATCCTTGCAAGAAGTAAGAACCTGAAAACTGAGCTCACCATTGTGCTTATATTTTCCCCCCGCCCCCCTAGGAAAACACAGCAACTTCAAAATACTTAGAATGTGCAAGGAGAACCTGGAATGGCTTGAACAGCAGGAAGAGGTAAGAGAAACTTGCATGCATAAAAGAATTCCTCATTTCCACTCCAGAATTAATGGGTTGGATGGAATACAAGAAACATCTGAATTATCCACATATGGCATCTTAAACAGGAGACAGGGTTCTGCGTACATAAATTCAAAAACAGAACAGTGGTTCTTATAAATATTAATGACAAATCTAGCTATCAGTGCTATTATGATCACATTAAGGATCATCCTAGACCAGCCCTTGCACAAAAGGTGGCCATTTGGTCTCTGTTGAATAGTTTCCAACTTCTCCTTGGAGTCTGTTAAACTTAAGGCAAAGTGTAGAGAGAAGACAGGTGGTAGAATCACAGGGTCAGGATCGCTGTTCTTTCCCTTTCTAATATAATTGTCTTCAAAGTGGAACCTAGGAGGTTAAACAGGAATCTTTTGGTACTTCTTGTCCCAGCTTGCTCCCCAGGGGAAGGTGGAAACAACAGAATTTTACCTTGTAGCAGCAGGCCGTCATCCGCGTAAGAGCCGCCCCGGGACTTTTGACCTGATTTTTTAGGGGACAAAAATGGGCTGTTTTCTGAGATCAAACGTCAATCCTGTGAACTAGTTGGTTGCTACTGTACTGCGACGTTGCCAAAAGGGACACAGCCTGAGCACCTTGGGCTTCTCAGAAGCTTTACCTTCATTATGCATTTTTATGGCCAGGAAGTACTTATGCATTAAAGTAGGACTGGCATGCAAAAACACATTAATAGGAAATTTCAAAAACCATTACTGTGCAGTATTTTCCATTACTGCTGCTCTTTGCTTTCAACCCTGTTTATACCAATGATCTATTTTATATATATATTATGTAATATATATATATATTCATACACACACACCCCTTACTATTTGTTTATTTTGTATAGTGATTTACTCTCGAGCTTCTGTATTGGTTATTAAAAAACTTCAGTACAATCAGTCGTTTTTTTTCAGGTAAGATATTACCCTTATATTTTGTGGGCTCATTCTTAAATGGGTCACGTCAAAACAGAATTCAGTATTCAAAACCACACTTGTCAAGAGCCAGAGAGGCCTGAGAGAGACTCAATTATAAAGGTTTAATTATTGGTAATGGTAATCATTTGCTAAAGTGAAACATTGTTAATTTACTCAAATCTATCAAAATGACAATAAAAACAGATGCATTAAAATTTTTTACTTCGCCTCACTTTCCCAATTGAAAAGAAGGAAAATAGTCTGCAGAAGGGAAAAGGAAAGGACATGGTTAGTTAATAAGTTTATAATTAGCTCCTGAATGATCGGGAGTTCACTGTAAATTTTTCAAGACCTCGAAGCAGACATGAACTCATTATTTCAGGAAAGACGTGTTTTTTCCTTCCCCAAACCCCAGTGGTTTGAGAACTCCAACTACCGTTATTCCCAACACATGATCCTATTTATCACGCAAAATAAATGCGCAGAGTAGAGTTCATTTGCTTCCTCACATTCATCATTCTTTCCATGTGAAATTTTTAACATCTAAAATGGCAAAACTCCAGTGACATTACCATAAAAACATGTAAGTACAAAAAATAAGGAAGTTAACAGTAAGGTTTAAAAAATTATTAGAAACAAACGCCAAGCCAGTTATCAACCTGGATAGAAACATGATACAAATCCAAATTGACAGTAGGTAAAAACACTTCTAATCTTGCGCATTTTAGACAAGGGAACTGTATTTCATCAATTGAAAAATCACACCTTGCCCGACGGGTCACTTAGACTGACCAAATGCTACAGATTCTTTAAGTCAAAGAAGCAGAAAAGGTCAAAATCCCTATCTTCCTCCTGTAAGAAAGAAGACTGGATTGGCATGCATGGGAACCCAGAGTCTAGACAAAATCAACACTGCATCTTAAACTCACTGCTCAACATTACTGCGGCTCTCTTCTCTCCTGGAGATGGCTTGCAAACTCCGAGTTCTTTGTCTCACCCCACACGTTTGCTCTGCACATTCTCAACCTTCACTATAAGCACCACCGCTCGACCTGCTCCTCAGGGCAGCACGGAAAGGGACGTGGCACTCACAGGGTTCAGGGAGGGCATGCTGGGTGCCCATGTGACATACCTTTTGCTCAGGCCCACTGGAGCCCTCCTCTTCCTGAAGATTCAGCCTGGGCTTGCCAGGTGCAGGACAAGTCCTGTTCATCTTTTTCATAGTGACAGGCACACAGGGTTTAGGCTCTTCGATGCCAAGCTTGCTGGTTTCCTCCGGAGATTTCTGATATGCTGTGAGTGGGGATGCTGGTTCCTCAACGCGAGCTGCTCCGTGTAGTTTTGGTTTGAGAATTTCCTTCGCATTCTGCTTTCCTATGTCATTTTGGGATTCTGGAAGGTAAGCTTTTGTCTTTGCTTCTGGAGTGACTTCTGCATGGCTTCCATTGGCTTCAAACTGTCCCGATTCTCCTTTGAGATACGAGGTAATGGAATCTCTACATTGGTCAGGGCTGCAAAAGACAAAAACGTGCAAACAGGGCTGCCACAGGGCTCCAAACAGTGCTTTACAAACATGCTAACAACTCAAAGTACAAAGGCATTAAATTTGATCCCTGGATTTAGAGTGGGAGAAGCTGTTACAGGCATGGCTGTGAGCACATACGCTTAGCTTCGTGCACTGCCCAACCTGGCCAGCTATGATGCCATCTTTTTCAATTTCGGCTCTACAGGTATGCGGATTTTATGTCCTGAGAAGTGATCCTGAGAGGTTTATACACATATTCTGAGTTTCTCACTCTATCAACCTAGAAGTGGAGGATATTTCAAAAATCTTTTAAAAATCACTGGTAAGAAAAGCTGAACAGGGTCTGGTGCGGTAGCCTGGTGGCTAAATCTTCATTTTACATGCCCTGGGGTCCCATATGGGTGCTGCTTTATATCCCATCTGCTTCACTTCCCATCCAGCTCCCTGCCTGTGGCCTGGGAAGACAGTCGAGGATGGCTCAAAGTCCTGGGACCTTGCAGCTGCGTAGGAGACACAGAAGAAACTCCTGGCTTCAGAATGGCTCAGCTCTGGCCATTGCGGCCGCGTGGGGAGTGAATCAGCAGATGGAAGATCTCCGTTTCCCCTTCTCTGGTAAATCTAACTTTCCAATAAAAATAAGTAAATAAATCTTTGGCCTTTTTTTCTTTTTGGTAACAAAATGATGTTTTAGTGTTTGCTTAGCAAATGCAGAAGCACAGTAATTAACTATAAATTGTTTCATGTGTGCATAATCTGATATACATGTATCTAGTCTTTCAAGTCACTTTTAGATTATCTTCTAAATAAAGTATTCATTTTTAAACAAAATACTCCATTCTGGATGGATAAGGACAAAAACAGGGTCTCTGAAGACTCTGTACAATACCCTTTCGCAAATTCAGTTTTTCCAGTCTGCACCTCTGCCTAAATTCTATTCTACACAGGCGAATGCCAAGAACAGAGTTGATTGTAGAAGAACAAGGGAACTCGTAAGAATTCTGTGTATGTAATACACAGGCACAGCCTATATTAAACAAGGAGTTTCAGCAAGTTTAATATGTAAGTTATTTCCAAATATTAAAACATAATTCATATGACTACACCAGAATATAGAATCAAAACTAGCACTGCTTGTCCATTTGGTGGACTTTACACAGATTTTTCAAAAGCAGTATTATAAGTTTTTAAAAGGTTTTATAAACCTTTTTTGGGAAGTTGTATTAACTCTCCTTGTTGGGACATTTTCCTGAGCAAGAACTTATCAATTTCCTTACATTTAAGTTTTATCACCAGTTGTCACAGAAGGAAAATACATTTTAATCTAATGTGTGCATCAATCAAAGTAATGCTGATAGACTAATACTTGTACAAATCATTCAGGAGGCAGGATTCATGCTTAACTTTTTGCTATTTGAGGCAATTCATGGAGAGATGATAAAGTGATGTTCTGACAACTTGGAAATTCTTAGGAACCCCGGATCTTACCTTTCCAAGAGCAGGACCTGAAACATGAGCAGGGGATTATTTTGATTAAAAACAAATGTCTATGCTAATCTAGTATCTGGAGTCAAGAATTACAAGTTTCAGGGGCTGGCACTGGGGAGCAGAGGGTTAAGACTCTGCTTACGATGCAGCATGTCCTCCGAGTTCTGGTTTGAGCTTGGCTGCTCTGCTTCCAATGCAGCTCCTCACTAACGTGCTTTGGAAAGCAGTGGAAGATGTGCCACGTGCCGGGGCCCCTCCCATCTATATGGGAGGCCTGGATGAAGCTCCTGGCTTCAGTGTGACCCCACCACACTGTAACAGCCATTTGTCACTCTGTTGTTCAAATAAGCAAATATAAAGATCTCTATGGAAAAGAATGACATGTTTAAATGATGAAAAACAAGTAAAAAAGCAGAAGAACATAAAAGGTTAATAGTGTTCTTAGTAAGACGTGTCTTTATGCTTCTCTTCATTTCCTACATTGACATTTTAAAAATACTCAATATAGGAAATGAACAACATTTTGAGAGCTATTGCCAGATAAGGTTGAATTGATTTTTGTACCCTGTATTTTCATATTGTGTATGCATATGATTTTTAATAGTTAGAAAAGCAATATAAATATTTCTATTTTGAAAGATTTGGACTTTTCTTTGACCATGAATTACCTAGGTGATAAGAATAAGGCACATAAAAGACTGTGAGGAAAGGCACTGTAAAACTCTTGGGCATGTATGTTAAAATTTATTTATTTTTGCTTCAGGCTCTTGGTAGTTGAGAATAATTTGAATGTGATTTTGTCCTTCCAGATTGGCATAATGAATCAACCTTTAAGCAGGCATTATGCACAAATTAGAACGGTAATTTGCCAAAAAAATTAATAATCATGGCTATAAAGCATGTTTTCAAAACATCCTGCTAACAGATAACCTCGCACGTCACTGGACTTTCCTGTCCCAGACACGGAGCCATACCTGTCATCCAGTCGATCCAGTAGCCCACCAGTGATTCTTCGAGCTTGAGCAGGAGACTCGAGATTTCCGCTTGATGTCTCGTTCTGCCAACCTGTAATTGAAGACATTTCCAGTTCCGCTTGCTGAACCCTTTTAAGAATAGCCTGTACTTTTTCTTCTGTCATTTCCTCAGACTCTATGCCTTCTTCAAGTTCAATGTCCTCAAATAGAGACTTGAGTTTTTCTTCCGTCATCTCCTCAACAGGGCCAGATTTTCCTTCCTCCTGCTGCTCAGCAGAACTTACTGCTACTTGGCTAGTCTGTGTCAATGGCTCTGCTGGGTTAGCCCCTGTGGGGACCCCAGGCAAGCTTCCAAGGCATTGAGGATACTCACTCAGACACACATCCTCCAACTGGGTCTCATCTACATCCACTGCTTCGGGCATTTCTGTTAAAGGCACTGAGTCTTCCAGTTTGCTGTCTTCTAAGGAAGTGTCTTCTGCAGTTACGACTGGAGGTCCATCTGCTGAATGCTCTACGTTCCCTTGGGAAGGCACTAGCCCATCGCTCAGTCTACTGGGGGTCCTAAGGGGCGACTCTATGCTAGATATATCGCTAAAGTAATCATCTTGCTGCAAAGGGGTGGGTGGTGTGTAGTGCAAGCCTGTGGGGGTTTCCAGCTCCACTTGAAGGGAAGGATAACCTATGGAAGACAGTACAGTTGGACTGACTGGAATGAATCAGAATACATCAAACAAAAACACATGGAATGACACGGTTTATCAGGCATGAAAATGTATGATGAAATACAGAATGTTGACAAACTTACTGATTTAGTTCAATTAAATGTAATACAATGAAGTAATAAGCCTAGTGCAAACTACAATAAAAGAATACTAACATCAATTTTATCAGTTTGGTCATTTTAATATAGCAACTTAAATATGCAGACTAATTTAATCCAACTTAAAAGTTAGCTGTTACATAATATACATTTACTTTACAGTAATTATTATCCTTCTACCTTTAGCATGCAAAAGTCATACTGTGGTAGACTGCAGTAAGCCACAAAAAATTTGATTAACAAAGATTTAATTTAAAAGCCGTACATAGGAGCAATACAATCCAACTCTAATTGTTTTACATGCAGCTTACAGCAAAGACAAATGAAGTTAATTTTTGGAAAGAGATGATTATTACAGTTTAGAGCAGTAGCACCAGGAAAAAGAACCTAAAAACATGAGAAGAAAATGCTTTGAAAAGCAGAGTAGAAAAGGTGTCCTATAAAGTTCTGCAGTGACACGTGACAGATGAAAAGCTGGAAGTGTACAAGGATACCTCAAAAAGTTCATGGAAAAAGAAATTAGAAGCTTGTTTTGGTGCAAAAAATGTAAAATCCACGCACATGCAAATTTTCAAAATGTTTCTATAAATTAAGTACCATGAAACAACTATACGTGGATTTTTAAATTATTTTGCATCAAAATAAACTTACCTTTTAATTCCATTTTCCATGACCTTTTCCAGGCACACTTGCAGACAGATGAATATCTTGGAGAAGTGGATGATGGAGTCTGCTCTGAACCATGGACCAAATAACGAGAGAAAACCAGGTGATAGACAAAGAGGTGCGAATCTACTTGCAAAGAGCACTCTGAATGGTCATGACCACACTATGAAACACAGAGTTCATGAGCTAGTCCACCCAAAAGGGAGGGAGGGACAGAAGAGCTGGCTTCCAACACTGCTCTGTGGGCTACCAAAGCATTCTTTTGTCTCAGCAGAGAGCAAATTCAACCATGGTCTGGTCATGGTGAGGAAAGGAGGTTTCAAAGCCCAGTGAAGAGGAGAGACAGGAGAAAAAGGCAACGGGGCACATTTTCTGAATGTATTGTTCTGTAAAACTAAAGTCGAATTGTCCCATCAGTTCCAAAGTAAATTTCAACCAAGCTGCTGTTTCAGTTATGGTCACTCATGAACCAGAATGTTGTGGAAAGATTAGCTAAAACTAGCTGGAGTTAATAAGGAGCATAAATGAGATTTGCTTCATCTATACATTCCTAAATTTCCTTAAGAAAATTTTAAGCAAGGAATATAAAATACGAAGATATAGCAAGACACACTTATACTTTTACATTAAATAATTCTAATTTTCAGATGTGAATTGATGTTCCTGAAAACCAAGTATTTCTGCTGTGTTTTACTGATTGCTTTATTAGAGGTGCTTTTCTTAAGCTTTTTTCTTTCCTGAGAATTAGAAGACCTGCGCACACTACCATTTGTCAGCAATTCAAAATCAAAAGAACAGTGATCAGTGTCTAGTACAAAGCCTGTACCACTGCATGGCTTCACCTGTAAAACAAAATCCTGAAGCAATTTCCCCGCAAGGTTCCACGGCATTTATAAACACTTCTGCTCTTACAGCAGCCATTAGCTTTGCTACAGGAGGAATAGGTAGACTCTCGATTTTCTGTTGTCATCAACTGTGGTAGGCACAAAGCAAGAACCTGAGCTCTTCCCGCATCACATGTGCGGATTTAGAACTGAATGACTCGGGACACCTTCACCAGGTTAAAAGTGGAAAAAATTGATATTTTTCAAAATTTGGGACAGTGCAGAAGTCTCCCTAGTTCCTCCCTGTGCCTGCTTGGTGCCACTGAATTTTCTACTTCATACTCGTTATAGGGATTCATTTCCATGTGTGAAGGTAAAATAATCTTACGTTTTCTCAATATGTTGATTAAAAAGCCCCAAAATCATATAAATTAAGTCAAAGTGAAAAAATTATATTTGTGACATCTGTGCTGAACAATGTTAAAATGCAGCCACCTTTAAAATATAGTAGGTTACATCAGTGCCTTTTTTTTTTAGAAAGAAAAGCAGCAGCGCTTATAAAGTTAAAACTAAATGAATAATGAAAACAATCGTGTGATACACTGGAAATTTTTTAGTACATATTTAAATATTCCATTCCTGGACAATAATTTACCATTTTATCCTAATTTCTATAATACATGCTAAAAGCTGATTCAGTATCTTGCTTATTTGCTGAAAGTGGATCACAATTTAGTTTTGCAGGTGTGAATAAGAAATTACCAGATTTTTAGGTTAACATAAAAAGTTAAATGATAAAAGTGTTTTCTAGATTTTAAATTGTTTTTTGGTGGGTTACACAGAACATTAAAAACAGCAACTCTTCTGGGTAATGGGTTTTCATGGCACATTGCTAACATTCTAAGCTACAGAAACACTGACCAAGTTTGCTCTGGTCTCAGAGTGCTTATTTGCAGACGTTGGTAGAGAAAATGCTGAGAAAATGAGAAATTAAATCAAGCCAATCACAATATAGCTGGTTTGAAGCAACTGCCTTAATAGGCTGCAGTTTCAAATTTTATCAAGCAATTACATAAATATGAACATTAAAGTCAATTACCATCAACGGAGTCATGGAAAACATTGTTCTCATCTGCAAAACTTCTGGTGCCTGAAATATTGCCATAATCAAATATTGGTCCTTCTAGCAGAGTCACTATATCTATTCGATTAATTTTTGTCAAGACCGAAGTTAAGGCATCAGCTGAAAAGGAAAGAAAAAAAAAGGTTGAAAACCCAGCTGAATTCTTTTCTTCCAGCCAGCGCAACATCCACTAGGACAGGGCTTCTGTAGCTTTCTTGGCATTTTGGCTTGTCCTCATTCTAGCTCAGCACCAGCCATCCCCAGCACACAAACCCCTCACTGCAACAGACAGGAGGTTAGGGTCTCACAATCACATTGTCAAGCTCAGGTCAGAATGGCATCCTACTCTAACAGAGCAGATGGCCTTCAAAAGTTAGACAACTTTTAGTTATAAGAGAATCCAATAAAACGTTCAACAAATTCCTTTCCTTTAGGATGTCAAAATGGGTTCTCAGTCCTGTTTGATGGTTAACATTGTAATGATCCACCAAGGTCAGGCTGACCCACAGTAATTGGTTCCAGATTGCTGTGGCTTGGCGTGTGCTAAAGGATATCACCATTCATATCCAACCAGTTCCAACCCAGCCCTAAGGCATTCTCTTCCATCACAAATGAAGCTGCACGAAACTGCCTTAATACAGTTCTTGCCCTCCTTTCTGCACCTTCTTGTATTTCTACCTCTGGTCACAGCAATAACTGTTCAGTGTTTCTGATGACCATTCCATGATTTAACAGCTAGAATTTTGTTTTCATTTTTGATAGTCACAGAAAGAATGACAGAGAAAAAGTTACTGCTTGCTTTCCAAAACCTTTCTAAGAGAAGTTTAAACACTTATACAAGTGAAACTTTAAAAACCTTGCTGTTATTTTATATTAACCTGTTTTTACTTCTCTATATTTGAACAGATTGAAAGTGGGTTCATTAACTTTTGAAAGTCAAAGGTAATATAACATTAGCATACTTGTCGCATTTTTTCCGTCTCTGGTAACCCATTTTTTTAATAACATGAAGCTCTGGGAAATTAAAGAATTTGGATTTTCCACACGTATTTGATTGATCTCATCCACTGAAAAATTGAGTTCCCTTGCCAGTTCTGCAAAAAGAAAGAGAATTACGAAGATTGCATATTTTACTTTCACTACATACATTTCATAAAAGTAATGTTCAAGTGCTATAAAACCAGACATTTTACAGAAAAATCTAAGGAGCACCTTGTGCATTAATCTCCGCATACTGGATGTCACAACAAAGCAGTAATCATACTCAGGCTGTGACTTATTCCACTGAAGTAATTCCTTAGCGATAGTCCTATTACAGATCATTGCATGAAGATACATTGTCTTTATAAAGATTATGTTGATGGATACTTTAAGTTGAACCAAGTTTTACAGTTTAAATAAATTGCACCTGCGGACAGATACCGGGATTCTCTCTTCCATTGGTGAGCTGGCCGAGTTTCCTCTGAGCAGCCTCCGTGACATGCCTTTCATTCACATAGTCCACCTGCACACCTTCAAGTTTCATGAACTCCAATGGGGAGGTCAACTGATGACTCCAGGCCAGATCATCGTAGGTAGCATGCAACCACTTTGTGTACAAAATAAAGGGGAGAGAGCTTTCTGCCCCTGTTGGTGCAAGCAGTCCTCCATTCAATCTTTTAAATGCACAGTATCCTTGGAAAGATACACAGGATCCGAGTATTCCTGGCTACCTCAGGAGATGGAGACTCACATTTCACTGTAAATTGTTGTCTACCCTCATAGGTGTGTTTTCCTGGCAGTGATTATAAAAATGCTCCAATGGAAAAGGTATTGGCAAGATTCTACTTCCTGTAAGGAGTACTTCCAGCTATTTAGAAAAATGAATTCAGAGGCTTAAAAACTATGCTTGGCCAAGTGATTCACTTCTAGAAACCTATTCTGACAATACCTAAAGACTGCCTAAAGTGATTTGACACTGTGGCAATTTACTAATGAGTAACTGAAGATGATCTACATGTTGATCTCATAGAGAAAAGTTAATTTTGGGCAGTGGCTTGCAAACTATGTTGCTCATGGCCTATAGTTAGAAATATATTGTGTAATGGTATTTATAAAAATAAAGCCATAGCATCCTGAAGAAAAATGTAATATCACTTTATGCAATTTATAGGCATTTTCCTTTATATTCCACTTAGTAGCATAAATTTATTTCATGGTTAAATAAAATCATAAAATCACCTTGGAATCCATAGTTAGAAAATACCATAATCTTCATCTGTTAGCTCTGCTTTTTTTCCATGAAAGTCAAGATCAGAGGACATTTAATTTTGTAGAAAATGATATCATTTGTTACAAATACAAAAGCAGATTACATGGTATACATATAATAAAATAGTTTTATGGAAAATGCAAAATACAGTATAGATGTTTTTTGAAGGAGAGACTTAAATTTACTTAAATGTAAGCATAAACTAATTCTCAACCAGATAGATATATCTTTAAAAGATCTTCAACTCTCTGCATGTTAAGAAACAGTACTCCTACTGTCCAACAAATCTGCATGACAAAACTGCATCTACAGTCTGATAACACAAAATTATGCCAATGTTAAGAATTTACCGTGACAAAATTAGATATTTATGCTATCCAAAAACAAAAAATCAACATTTGCTTCAGTTTTTTTTAAGATTACAGTGTCCAATGTTAAAATATAAATACTTAGTAATGTTTGTCAGCAAATATGTGACTCTCTCTCAACTGACTGCCAACAATTACCCAACCTGTCTAGTCAGCACTCCACTGGGTTCCTGCTCACTGGCAGTGAACCTAAGAGAAGGGAATTGGAGGAGGAGGAAGTGAGGCTTGAATAAGTGGTAGAGGTGGTGGGGACGTAGGGGGTCAGGGGCAGTTAGTGGGAAAATATTTAGATAACTTGGTTTTCCATTACATTTCCACTTCAATAACAGAATTATAGGGAATATATGTTGCTGATGGAATGCAAGAAGACTTTAGCTATGACTGATGAACATAATTTTAACTTTTATGGCTTTTGGCTATACACAGAGTATACACAATTTTAAAAAAAGACGGTGGTGGGGGGAGGGGTTGATGCAGCGATGACAACGCTGCTTGGACAGCCCACAGCCCGGAGTGTCTTTCAGAGTGCTCAGGTTAGAGGTCAGCTCCACTTCCAATTCCAGCTTTTGGCTGGTGTGTACTCTGGGAGACAGCAGGTGGTGGCCCAAGTATCGTGGTGCCTGCCATCCATGAAGGAAACCCAGATTGAGCTCTGGGCTTCTGGCTTTGGCCTGGCCCAGTCCTGGCTGATGCTGGCTTTTGGAGAATGAAATAGTGGACAGAAGATCCACTTGTCTCCCTGCCTTTCAAATAACAAGAGAAAAAAAAAAAAGGAAAAAACAACACAATCTATAAAACTTCACACGTCCTGCTTCATGTGAGGTAGTGTTTAGTTACAAAGCTGAATTGTTGACATAGCCCCTCATCTTTCATCTTCAATGAAATGAATCAAGTCAGATATTCCTTTTCTACACCCTGAACATAAATGGTTTCCTTCATTCACTGAACCGGTTTTTTGAATTGAACGTGCAAGGATTAATTTGCATTCTGTTTTAAAATGATCTCTAAGAAGTTTATTTGAAAGAGTTACAATGTGAGGGAGAGGGAGACAGATCTTCCATATTCTGATTTACTCCCCAAATGACCATGGTGGCTGGGGCTGGGCCAGGTCAAAGCCAGAGGCCTCGAACTCCATCCAGATCTCCTCGTGTGGGTGGTTATCTTCTGCTGTATTCCCAAGCATATTTACAAGGAGTTGGACCAGAAGTGGACCAGCCTGGACTTGAACCAACACATAAGAATGCCAGTGTTCTAGGTGGTATCTTCACTTGCTATGCCGCAACACCAGCACCATTTAGAAAAAATTCAAAATTCAAACTTACTATCATTTCCCTGCTTTCTGGTTAATATAAATATTATAAATAATCTGAATTTCTATTAAAAATAAAAATTTTCTTTAACCAAACATTTGACCAAAAAGTAATTTTATTTAAAGATTAAAAGCACCAGATAGATAATACAACAGACTGCTTGTGTACAAAGGTACTTCAGAAGGTTTCTGGAAAAACTGAATCAGCAGCAAAGTTCATTCTGATGCAAAAAATATGGAAGACATGCAGCTTTTCATAATGTTTATTCTATGAACTTTCACTGTATTTTTTTCATTTGGGAGGCAGAGCAACAGGGAGATAGAGACAGAGATCTCTTCCATCTGCTAGGTCACTCTCTAAATTGTTGCAACAGCCAGGGCAGGGGTAGGGCTAGGCCAGGAACCAGGAGTTCCATCCAGGCCTCCCATGTGGGTGGCCAGAATGTGACTGCTTATGGAGCTGTGTGCTGCCTCACAGCAGCAAGAGGTGGATCGGCAGCACAGGTGGGATTTGATCCCAGGCACTCTGATAGCAGTTACGGGTATCCCAATGGCGGCTTAGCCTGCCATGCCACAATATCAACCCCCTCCATGAATGCTTGGAAGACTCCTTATATATCATAGCAAGTGTGAATATGACTCCCATATGATTAAAATTGGTTTTCAACAGTTGCAAAGAGTAATGCTCTGAGGATGTAAGTTACAGGACTGAGTTGTGCTTTATGGGACAAAGTAACTTGCTGTTGGGTAAACGTTCATTCTATCTAACCAGAAGTGGCATTATGAAGAAAGCTGCTACATGTAAAGTAAGACTGAGAGTAGGGCTGCGGCACACTAGTCCTTAGTGTGCAGGTTTACATAAAGCTCTGGGAAAATACAGCATATGAACGTCCACATAGCTGGGACTGTGGAGGATGCAAATGCCTTGTCTTGGTTGCTGGTTTATAAGAACATTTACAGTTAACTGCTTGTGTACAAAACAATACAATCAAGAAGTCATACTTGTTTCATTCGGGCACACTTACCTGTCCAACTAAGTCCCAGGTGATCGGCTACTATTGCCATCCTGATATCTGTCCGTTCACAGGGACTCTGTGGACCTACGATTTACAATTTCTTAATTAAAATAATCATCAAGAAAGACACCATCCTGGAAAATTGCTTTTAGCAGTACTCAGATTTTACAGAGACACTAATGCTAACACTGTACACTGAAATGTGTCCTAATCACCTACATGAACACCGCTTTCCACATGGCTCACGTGTTGTTCACCTGCATCAGGCCAATGTCAGACTACATGGATGCTCAATGTAATGGGGTTGAACATGCTGACAAGCTAGCTACTTCACGACAGGTACAGAGTTGTGTTGGTGAAGACACCATGATGGGATTTCAACAGGTGTGCTTGGCTTCCACAGAATCATACCCATTAGCACATGAGAGAGAGAGAGAGAGAAAAAAAAAAAGTTGTTCATCTTCAATGACACCAATCTCTTCAGCATGCTCCCCCTCGCTGTCTACCGTGTAGTTGGATTCAAAGGAAGGAAGAAGAGTAGGTAAGACAGCACACACAGATGACAATGACAGAATGAGCAACTACGGTTAAGTCACTTCACAGGCAATCACGACAGGTCATGCACTACGGTCTACGAGTTGGCAAGTGTTTACAAACTACGCTCCTTCTCCAGGAGGTGAGCAAAGAACGCTCAAGAAACCTGACTGCCTTCATTCTCACCAGTCCTCCTACTGCTCCTCCTCTCACTGCCGGCCTTTGCACTCTTTGATTTTAAAGGCGCTGCCTCTGTTTTCTTATCTCTAGTAGACTTCGTGGGAACGGAAGGCTGGCCACCCCGGGAAGTCTCGGACAATGACGACGTGTTTCTTGAGGTACTTTCTTCCTCATCGGACAGCTCGGACTGCAACTTTTTGTCTTCTTCAGAGAGGCGGTCCACAAGCTTTAAGGTCTCACCACTAATTCCCTTAAAATATTCAATGGAGTGTTTACATACTTCCTTAAGCTGATTTTTCCTGACTTTAATTGTGCTGGTGCTGGTGGTGCTGGTGGTGCTGGTGGTGCTGGTGGTGGTGCTGGTGGTGGTGCTGGTGCTGGTGGTGGTGACACAGGTGGATCTTACCTTGACTGGCAACTTAGATGGAACTTGTTTGACCTTGTCTCTCTCTGGCCGCCCTTGTTTTTGTGTAGCACATGCTTTTCTAACTGAAACCGTGTTATCCCTGTGTGTGTTTTTTATTGGAATCCTGGACTTTCCATCTATACATGAAGAAGGAGGAATGGTTCTGGCTTTCTCAGATTGACTAACCTGCTTTGTTTTACTTGCCTTAATGCGTGGTATATGGTTTGGTGGGAGGTTATCTTTTGGTGAGGTGGCCTTTATGGGAAGTTTGGATTTTTGCCTAATCCCTACGGATTCCTTTGTCCTTTGCTGTTCCCCTAGAACTTTCTGCTTCTCTTTGACACAGTGTCCTTGTAGCACCCCTGTCTTTTTGCCTGGTGAGCCTTTCACTGGATTGCCTCTCTCAGTGGTGCAGCTGCGTGTGGGTTGTTCTCTCAGCACTACATTACTCATCGTGTGATCTGTCTGTATGGTGCAAGAATCCAAATTGTTGTTGTTATTAAAGTTATCTTTTTGAAAATCATGTTTCTCTTGGGGCCTAGTGCCCATCTGGCTATTGACTGCATTGGAAATCATGCTCACAGCTTCGTGTTCTAATCCCTGACCACTGGTCACCACAGCGTCTAGCTTATCTGTCGCTTCTCCAGAGCCTTCTTTCTTCATGGTCATGGTAGAGGCAGAGATTCCCATCTTTATAGGCGTGCGCAACTTGGGATCAACTTTGGAGGTGCTGCTGGCGGCTGCTGCTCTCTCCGGAGAGCTGCTCCTGGCTGGGCCTTCCTGACACTCTCCGCTGGTCGGGCTGCTGGGGGGAGGTTCCACTGGAGGTGCCTCTGCATTTCTCTCTACAGTGGTTTCTACAGTGGTGTCCCCTGACTGTGGCTGTGCTGTGGCTGTGACCATACTCTCATCCCCTTCCCCCTGGTCCCCTGACTTCCCTTCAGAAGGATGCTCACCAATCTGAAAAAATTGGAGCCTCTCTTCCACAAAATCCCTCTTGCTCATGTCAATTGCACCACTGCGAGTCATCTCAAACATTTTCCCTTCATGAAATGGGAAGGGGTTAGGCTCACTAGTTGGGGTACTTTCATCAGTTGGCGTTCTGGCTGGCGTTGTATCAGGGGTTGTGGCTGGAGAGCGGTCTTCCACTGCCAGACCAAATGGCTTAGTGTCATCTTCCCGGGACTTACTGTCAAAGACTTCCTCATCCCCCCGATTACTGGACCAAGGGTCGAAATCTAGACCTTTGGTGGCTACTGTTTTAAAGGGAGTGGCAAATTCTTCGTCTACTTTGTAACTGAAGTAAGTGTCAGGAAACACTGATCGGTCAGGATGTCTGCCTTCTAGCGTGAAGAACTGGGCCCCTGACTTCTGCTCAGTCTTATCAGAAGTCTTTTCAGATGAAGAGCTTCTAGAAGATGGCTTATCGTCCTCTGGCCCCACCTTGCCCTCCTCCTCGATAACTTCGAGTTTACTCTGGCTAAAAGAGCGATCGGCTGGTTTCAGGATGCCCTCCATGTTCCAGACATCTTTCTTCAGTTCCACGGTTTGCCCTGGGAGTTTAGAATCGCTCTCGATCAAACCATCATCTTCGTCTTGCAGGTCATAGCCATCCAGGGAGTCGATCTCTGTGGCGTCTGTGTCGTGGGAGAATTCTGCCGTGGTAGCGATGGAACACTCTGTGATGGACTGGTCATTGTTTCCATTCTGGGCAGTTTCGTTCTGAGGCGAATCAAGAGTGAGGCCAACTTCATTCTCTTTTCCAGACCCATTGCTTTCCAGTTCCTTCTGGGCGGGCGCCTTTTCGGCAGACGCTTTGGCTTTTGTCATCTCTTTTTGTTCATCATCTACTTCCTTTAACTTGAAGGTGTATTTTTTGACTGGGACTGGCTGGTAAACAGATTCATCATCGCTGGAGTCGCTGACATCTGCCCCGGGGGGAACCGGTGAGGGGGGCTGCACTCGGATGACTGGTTCGGCCAGCTGGTACTTGTCATGCTCATCCTGCAGACTGACCTCAATCATGTCAACCTCTTTTTCAGGGAGATAAGGAGCCTTCTGTGGCTCGGGCTGGTCGGCCTCCAGCGGTGGAGGAGGGGGAAACTCAATGTAGGCAACTCGGTTTGTTTTAGGCCTTTGGCTGGAGTCTCTGCTCGCGTCACCTGGCATTTCTGGAGTGATGGAGGTCTCCTCCACTGTCTGCTGCTTGAGGGACGTGGATCTGACTTGTTCCTCCTCCTCTGATTCCTCAGAAACCTCGGGAATTGGACTAGGTTTGCCCGGGATGTAAGCTATGAGCGAGTCTGGTGTCTTAGATGTAAATTCGTAACTCACTTCCTCTGAACTGGGTGTTTCTGGGGTCAGAGGGCTTTTCCCAGAGCTGTCTAGAAAGGAGACTTGCTCGAGAGTATCATCTTCTGGGCTACCTTGGGGAGAAGGAGGTTGCTTTGGCTGCCTAGTGGTGTAAAAGGTCCCCCTGGTTTCTTGCACTGTCTTACACTCCTGACTTACAATTTTCTTCACACTTCCCTGCTGAATCTCTCTCTCATACTGCTTCCCCACCTGTACGAAACTCACATACACAGGTAAGGTTTTTATCTCCTTCCCTCCCTCTGTCTGGGCTAGGGGCGCCAGCTTTTCCAATCCATCCATGGGACTGTGGTCAAAGGCGTCACTAGAGGGAGATTCCTTCCCTGGGCTAAACTCTAGAGAATCCGGAGATTTGGTTGGGGAGGTTTCCGTTTCATCTAGAGGTGGACATAAGCCTACATAACTCTGTTTGGACACTTTGCTGATTTCTGAATAGGTCACTTTTGCATCCTGTATGGAATTCAAGTGCTTGGTCTCAACTGTCTCTTTACTCAGACCGGACTGGGCCACCTTTTGTGAGAGTTCGGGTTTCGGAAAGGTGGCCGGCTCACACAAACCACGGGGGCTGCTGGGGGCCGGCGCACTCCTGTCCTCGGCGACTCTGACCGGAATGTGTGAGACTCCGGGGCTCTCAGTTTTCCTGGAGGGCTGAAGTGGAGAGCCACCTGCGCGGTCCCCATCTTTGACAACATATTCCCTATATAAGATCTTTTTGGAGGGAGACTTGACAGTCATTTCCTTAATTTCTGAGAGAGAGCCATTTGTTAACACCTTGTGTTCTCTCTCAGTCACAGCCATGAACTCGTTCTTTGGATCACTACTTGGACTCTGGGGGTGACCCACATGATTCTCTCTTACATCATGAACGAGTACATGCGAAAGTTTTTCTTTCTGTGACTTATTGTTACTGGGTCCAGAACTTTCCCACGTCCTAAAGACCTTTTTGTCCCATGGTCCCTTAGCAGGGGCTAAATCTGAGGTCCCAGGACATGCTAAGTCCGTGGTAGCCTGTTGCTCAGAAAAATGGTCAGGCACCCCTTGCTTGGACAGGACAGTTCTTGGCTGTTTCACTTCATCAGAGCCAGAATCATTTACAACGATCTCGTTGCTCTGGCCGTGCTCGTCTTTGGCTTTTAGTGCCATCAAATCATTTTGCACGGCTCCAGGTTCCTCTGCGAGGTCTAGGCCCTTCTGCTGTCTTTCTCTAGCGAAGACTTGGTAGACGGGTAGCTTGCTCTCCTGTATCTTTTTCACGGGGATTCTGGATTGGCCATCCGGCCGTCTGTCTTCTTCGGACACGTCCCTGCTCTTGGGGTGGGCGCCTTGTTCAAATTTTAATCGGATGGAACTGAGTTTGGATTGCTTGAGCTGAAACCCAGCCTGGGGCCCCTCCGGCGCCTGGCTTGGTGACCCTTGGCTTCTCTGGGCATTTTCTGCGGCCTGGCCGTCTTCGGCATGCGGGGCGAGAGGAGCCCGCTTCTCAGGGCTGCTGACACCGCCGGGGTCTCTCCGTTCCTCGGCCTTGGGGATGCCTGGTGCATCGGGGCCCTGCTGCCTTGTCCTGACCCACTCCTCGTTGGACGCCAGCAGTTCTGTCAGCAGAGCCTTCTCTGGGCTGCCGCTGGTAGAGCTCTGGGAAGCATATTCCTTGCCATTTCTCGGACGCGGCTTCTTCTCCGGGGACTGCAGTTCATCGTTGAGCTTTTCTGTTTTGTCACGAAAAAACTGCGACACTTCGGTTAGTTTCTCTTCCGCCTCCTTCACGGTCCTGTCCACCCTGTCTTCATAGATTAACTTCTCTCTACCTCTGTCTAATCTGTCCTCGGAAAAGTGCATCCACATGGCATGTTTGGGGCTACCAACATCGCCAGCGTAGTGCAGCACTGTCACTTTCTCAAAATGCTCATCTTTAGACACTTTCCCTACACCATTTTCAGACACATCTTTATAGATTTTGGAGAGGATCTCTTTTTTGGGGGCAGGGGCTACTTTTTCTCTGGCCCGCTTATCAGAGCCCTGTAACTCTGAGCTAGGGGGTCCCGTATGGTCTGTGACCAACTCCTCAGAATCAGAATGAGATACATCTAACTTCTCGGAGAGAAGCATTTTCTCGGCAAACCTGTAAGACTCCCCTCTTAGTTCTGACAACTCATCGTCATGGTACTCTATCGAGTGCTGACTCAAAAGCTTCAACGTTTTATAGGAGTCATCAGATATGAGTTGAGCAGAACTAGGGCGGCTGTCTTCTTCTTGGGACACGGGAGTGTTTACTCTGGAAGATTCCAGATAGGAAGGCAGGGACTCCTCGGCAGTAAGTTCTTCTTCTTCTTGCTGACCCTGTTCCTCTGAACAGGGAAAAGCATCGTGTTTCTCTGGCAGAAAATCTTTTAGGTTAATATCTCCCCGGGATAAGTCTTTCTGAAACACATACATCTCCTTGTCTGGATGCTTTTTTGTTTCTCTAATAATGACTTCAGTGGGCTCAGCTTGGTTACCTTTTTCGATGTGGACTTCAATAATACGCTCCAATTTGGGTTTCATTTGGGTGTCCTTCTCTGTGTGCTGGGCTGAGGCTTCAGCCGCAGTCTTGGGAGTGTCGGGAGCCACCGCCGCCGACTTATGTTCAAATAGACCTGCCAACTCTTTGGAAGGGTCCCGCCCAGACTGGAAGGCCTTCATGATGTCGTGGACTGACATGGTCTCCTCTATCCGCTCCGACGTGCCCTCGCTGCCCGGTGGTGAACGATACACCGTGCGAGTGGTGGTGGTGATGTGCGTCTCCTCTTTCACACGCATGCCTTTGCTCAGCGCCCGGCTGTGGTCCTCGTCATCACAGGTGCCGCCGTTGGCTTGCATCTGAAAGGCCTTCATTTTTTCCTTGATGCTTGACGCGGTGGGCTTTGGTTCTAATTCCATAAAGGTGGGCGGAGGCTTGGGGGACACGGGCTCCTCGGGTTGGGCCTGGGGGGCATCCCCCACGGGGGAGGGCTCGTAGCTCCGAATCACATGCACCACTTCAGTTCTGGTTTCTGTGATGACGGGGGGGATGGGGACCTCGTGAAAAAGGGGTTTGGGGCCAGTGCTCTCAGCGCTCTGTGGGGCCGAAGGCGTTTTCTCGCTTCTCGTTTCAAAGCCGCTGTCGGACAGAGGACTTTTATCTTGGTCATGTTGAGAAAAGTCATCTGGAGACTCTAATATCGTATCTGTTCCGAAAAAAGAATCGGCCATCTTGCACAACTCTTTCTCCGAGGTGGATGGCCTGACGGAGGCCGGAGGCATTTTGAGTTTGTGTTCCTGCAAAGCCATCGCGGGTTTCAAAATCCTCTTCTGTCTTTCCTCGCCGTCCTTTTTGGCATCCTCAAACTTGTACTTCAGGTTGGTCAGTGAACTGCTACTCCCAATGTCGTTGGTCAGGTAATCGATGACTTTGGTCAGGTTGTAATCCTTGTCGGAGGCAGCTTTCGCTTTAACGTGCACTCTCTCAGGCAGGGATGGGGCATGGCTGGCTGCAGCCTGTCTCGCTTCCCGTAGCTCTTCCGCACTGAACTCGGTCCAGTCCTCTTCCGGAGAATGTCCTGCGTCACTCTGGGGGGACTTGGGGGGCCCTTTATTATCCACACAGACGTCCTTCTTTAGGATCTCGCTGACCTTCACTAAGTCTTCCTTGACTTTCTCAACAATTTTGAAAGGTTCCTCGTCTTCCATTCTCCCTTCTTTGGCGAGCTCGGGTTGGAATGGCTTGTCCTCAGGCACATCTGTCTGCAGGATTGCTGTCATCCGCATGAGGTCCTCTTTCATCTCAGCCACGTCTTTTAATATCTCCTGACTGGAAGATAAAGAAGATGGTGTAGACAACTTAAGGGCAGAGGGTGCAAGGAACAGGGGTGACTTAACCGGAGATGAGGTTCGACTGAAATGGGGCTGAGGGCGGGTCTCCGTAGTCAATGCTTTCATGGGTGACAGCAAGGCAGCTGCTGATTTTGTCAGAGAATTCGAGTCTGGGAGTTTCTTTAGAGCTGGTTCTGGTAAAACATTGACTACAGAATAGACGGGCACTGTGATTATTGATGAAGTTACAGATGAGGTAGTTGCAGAGATCGATGACCCGAGGGATGTATAGAGAGCACTTGTGGGAGGAGTTCTGAGAGACGGAAAAGCTGACGGTGTTGCCGCGGGAACGTATGACCTGAGTGGGGAGAATGGCATCGCTGTCGTGGTGGCAAAGGCTTTGTCAACCGTGTCAGCCGCTGCGCTCACGACAGAGCTCACAGAGTTTGTAGCTGTGGAAATTTTGTCCTGTAATGTGGTAGTGGCTTTGCACCCGTTAATTAAAGTTGAAGACGACGGATATTTCAGAGGAGAGATCGAGCCATTGACTAATGCTACCTCTGCATGTCCCGGCATCTGTTTCAAGGGTGATGACAGAGTCGATGCCATCGTGACTTTAGTTGAGGAAATGACATCAACTGCTGACTTAGCTGGAGACACCACTGACTTTAAAGGGGATGAGATCAGTGGTGTTGCTGATGTGATAATGGACTTAAATGGCAAACTTGAGGAATACATGTTAAGGTTGGACTTGGGGGAGGCAGGGGGCGTCATGGTAATGGACGACCTCTCCAAGAGAGACCCTCCTGTAGTCACTGGGGAGGTTCGAGAGGAGAAAGTGGAAGTGGAGGCCAGTCCCTTTAAGGGTGAGGCCTCTGTGACTGCGGGAGGTCTACCCAGGCTGCCAGAGGAAACTTGGAGATTGTATGGAGACTGTGACACCACCGTTTTTATTGGCGAAGAAATTGTCCGAAAGGATCTAATCGGAGATGCCACGTCACTAATGGATTTAACTGAAGATGTCGTTGATGCGCCTAATGTGGATTTGATTGGAGAAGGAGTCGAAACCGACCATATTGATTTTAACGGAGAAGCTGATGGAGTATTAGAGGAAGAACTCGATAAGGAAGTGAAGCCTGACTTGGCTGGCCCAGGCACTGTATTCGCAGCTGTTGTCCAGGACTGGTATGGTCTTGTAGAAAAGAATGGCTTGTATGAGTAAGTGGTGGGGAGGGATCTTGTTGCTCCTGCACTCCGTTCAACTGTTTCTTAAATTTTAAAATGAAATCAAACACAAAAATCAACAAAAATGGTTGAGAAACAGAGAGACCAGAGGAAAAAATTGGTCAGTAAACTTTGAAATCTTACAAAAGCAAGTACAATTGTTTGCATGGCTTAGGATGGAAGAAGCAAAAGGAACAAGCACATGGAGGAGGAAAAATAAATTTCTGCAGACACAACTCATCCAAAGTTTAAAAAACAACTCAAGAAATAAAAAAAGAAAGAAAGAAAAACAGAGCAATGGGAAATGAAAGACAAGAAAAGCACATCGCAACCAAATAGGCCAACAATGAAAAATAGAACACATGAGGAAAGAATTAATGAGGAGAAAAATAACCACGATGGAAAACTGTTCCCTTACTTCCTATTGACTTTCTTATGTGCTGGGTTGGAAATCTCAGTAGCCATTCTGGTTTTGCCTGTATACGTACATGTTCGTTTCGTGCAACCATTTGACTCTCATTGCAGTCATTTTCTGCACCCTCTCCTTGAGCCTTTCCATGATACAGATTGCACCTACTTAGAACCATTTCCGTATTCGTAGCTGTCAATTAAAACTCTAGAACTCTGCTTGAAAAAACCACTCAAGCCTATGTCATGCAGAATCCAAAGTAACTGTTAAGTGACAGGCAACGGATTGCAAACTGTGAAGCCACTGGATTTTAAATCTGTATCTTCCATGCACAGTTCAGTTATGCTTTACACCCATCAAAAGCCAATAAGAGCAAGAAATTTTCTGAGTCAGAAATTTAAACCAAACAAAACAACAAAGAAAAGGAATGTTTGCATTGATGTTTTTCATGCAGCATATTCCTTTTGATGAGGGGAAAAATGTACTATGAAATGATATTTAAATGCATGTGTATGTACACAAAAGGGGGAAAAAAAGAAAATATGGTTCATGGTTACCATAAGCAAGCAAAGCAACTGAAAACGTTTCATCATGCACAAAATACCATGGCAAACAAGCCAATAAAGTACTACCATTTGTATGCCATCTTATGTGCAATAAAAACACTTTAAAAATATTTTTACAACAGCATTTAGAAAGAAGAGTACACTTTTTCCATAGGATGTGAAATATTGGTACCTTTTGAGATTAAGAAAATATTTAATGCTACATATTACAAAATACATCAACTAGGAAATGTATCTATGTAGCTATCTCCATTATGGACAGAAGAACATAGTTTATCTGAGTTTTTTTTCTTAACATAATTTACTTTAGATTCTCAAAAGGTATCGTGGGGAAAAAATCTAAAAAACAGGTATATTTTAAACACCCCATATTTAAGCACCTACAGTGGGATATTTATGTATGTGTATATATGTTTGTCCATTGCAAAGGTACCGATTCATATTCACTTAACTCATGGATACCTCAATCAGTGGAGCAGCCATGAGGTACACCTGCCACTAGGAAAGAATGGTGCATTCTCCTGGTGGGGGCAGAGCAGGGCAAGAAACACACAAAGGAGGTAAGCACATTGGCTGGGGGACGGCAAACACACACTTAACCCTCTCCAATTCTACATCTCTAGAAAGCCAGTCCAGCAGGTCACAGATTTTGAAGGCCTGCCAAGAGACAAGTTCTATACCAAACTTGCAGACAGTCTTGTTCCGTGAAAGCACTGGCTCAGAGTAACAGTGAAACGCAAAGGGAAACAAGCATTGACTTCATTGTTCCTGTTGCTCTTCGGCTGTGCCAGTGCCATTGCTACAATCCCATCCTAGGATCACCAGCTACTCCCACAAAGGTGAAGACTTTAAGGTTCAGACATGTAGAGCATACCCTTGTCTAGGCATACATATTGTTTTAAGGAAGTAGAAGAATTAAGGAAAAACTCATCTACTCATTTCCCTTCCTAGTTGCAACTGGCACTACTATATTACTCAACTTCCAAGTAAACATCACAGTGCAAATGGAAGGTTTGGGAATTCCTTTGATTCAATGATTTAGGCTCAGTCCATACTGCATTTATTTTGGGAAGCACCAGACACGCCAATAATCTCTCCTCTACAATGAAGGATGGCACCATCAGGCAAAGAAATAGTTTTGAACCCTATCTATGCTTTTATACTTAGTGAAGAACAACCAATTTGCTGACGAGTTACACATTTTATGCCTTAATTACATGTATTCTAGGATAACTCTAACAGGGTATTTCTGAATATTAGGCACTGAGCTATGTCAGAATCATTTTCCTAGGGAACAGCATAACAGAGGAATTGTGGCGTCTGGAGTTTTAACACCAATTCAGAGGCCCTGGCATTTCCATAGTTTTGTTTATGTAGTTTTATTCTGATTTCTCACGTAGTACTCTTTGTGTACCCTTTCATAAAACAAAGAGAAATGTTCTCCTACTTCCACCACGAGTCAAGGAAGACAAGCTGCGAATACCTTAAGAAAGGTAATCACAATGATTAACCCTTTCATAAGTGGGAAACGTTTAACTGATTTAGCACAACACTGGTCTTATGATAATTCAGGCATCCCCCCCCCCAAATAAATTCTGATCCTTAAGGCAACGTGCCTGCTCTAAGGTACCTCTGACCCAAAAAAAGCTGATCCATCAAGCCTGTCCAAAGCCTAAGGATTTTGTCTTGCAGTAAGGTTGGGGCATCCCACCAACCACCCTTTGAAGCTTGGGTTTAAACCCCAACTTGGGTCTCAGGGCAAAGGAATATTCCAAAGAAAACTGATATTCAGTATACTCAGTTTAATTGGAAATCCATCTTGCTATACACGCACACCCCCCCCCACACACACACACACTTATACACAACTCTTTCCCTATTGAGTAGCACAGTAGGAGTTAATTTCAGGCCCTATTTCTGAAAGGATTTATAGATCTTTCTGCTATGGCAAAAAAGCCCTGAGATTTGAGGTAGTGTTCGTGAGTGAGGTAACAGCTCATTTCTCTTGTACTCCCATTTTATATTTCAATATTAAAGCTAGGTTCTAACAGTCTATGCTAAGACCATCTGAGCTCAGTGGCAGAGTAGTTTCCTACTATATGTTTTATATGCTATTTTTAATTCCAGAAGATAGGAAACCCCAAATAATGTCTCCTGTTGGTGAATTTCCAAACCTTCTTGTATTCAAGTAACTTTGAGTTAATAGAAACGCCAGGAATGATGCCATAATTAACAACTAATTTCCCATACAAATTCTCTGCAACTCTCCCATGGCTGATGTGAAACTCCTTTCTGTCAGTCAGTCACAGTGCTGCTCCTGGTGCTCTGGGGTCCCCTTGATGGAGAGTGTAGTCCGTGAAGGATGTCATGATAATTACCAGGATATGGAAGGAGAGGGAGGACACAGAGACGGAAAGAGAAAATGAACAAAGACAACTGAGCCTAGGACCTGGACACTTGTAAGACCATTTACAACAGACCAAAACAAGCAGTGAGAAAAGGGTTTAACCTGTCCTGCAAAGATCAGTTTCAGAACTGGTATTTTAATAATTCAAGGGATGGGAGAGAATGAGGACGATGGAAGAAATCAGAAATGAGTAAGCAAATGATTCCCAAAGATAGTCATGAAATAAAATTCTTGCAAAGTGGGAAGAACAAGCATCAGGACTCAGATACAACAACCTTTCTGTATCAAGACAAGTGAGATGACAACCAAAGAAACCTTGTCATCCTATCCACCATCACAAATACATAGGATGGTATGTTTCTCTTTTGAGTAACACTAGTGTCCATCTCCTAGGAGAGTTAACCATCAAGACATTAAAAGCAGTAGGGGTTTATAACTGAAAAGACAGTGGCTTAAAAATGACTTTGAAGGCTATATAATAGGGGTGTTTATACCTAATGTCAAGTGTGTACAAAAGATTAGATTTTATAATAGGCAACTCTTCTTTTGCCATGGGGTTTTCTGATGACATCAAAATTTAGTTGGTATAGAAAAAATGTCTCTTCTTAGAAAAATCCGCATATATTAGTAAATGTGTTAGAAAACTCACTCATTCCAGGCTCAGTCAAGTAGCTGTACCGCTTACGTAAAGCTAAAGATGCAAAGCTCTGGCGTCTATCTGCTTTCTCAGCCTGAAAAAGAAAAGGGAAAAGAGACTGTGTAGGTAGCTGTCCTGTCACAAGGCCGCAGTTGTGAAACATCTTGTAGGATGGCAGGTTGATAGCTTGCCTTGACTGTGACTTTTCTTTGTATGCAATTTCCTCTTGAAGATGTTCATTTTCTACAGAGATTCTGTGGCCCCAACCCAGAATCTCAACCCCATAATCACCATTTAGCAAATACTTGTTTGAAAGTACCAACACAGCACACTACAGGGAACTACGAATGGCAGACGAGCATCACAGAGACTTCTGGTGCTGAACAGTCAAGTTCTCCCAAATCCATTCATTCTGAGGGCACACATATCACAAAGTACACTCATCCCGTGTGAGTACATTCAGAGAAAAAGGCACACATGGTTCATTATTTCAGTCACTATTGTGACTCCTATATGTTAATAGGCATAATGTATAAATTAGACGCTTAATAACAGGTTAGTAATTTAATAGCAGTAATGTTATTGCGGCCTAAGGCTGCTGAGTCTATTTGTTATCATTGATATGTGGGCTTTAAAAATGCATCGATCATATAATTTAGAGCAATGTTAGCAGACTACTTAAAAGGAGAATTCCTCTCAAAATTCATCTGAATTGAAAATGGCCAGAGTACATTTTTTTGTAACATCAATGAGGGAACAAAATTTTTATGTTATATAAAAATTGATTTGCATAAATAAAACTTCATATAATAACCATGATATTGATTTAAAAGTTATTACACAATGGATAGCAAAATACACACCTGTAACTTAAACAAAGGTCTACTGACACACTAGACTGACATATTTAAAAATGTTTCAAGAACTTCATTCTTTTTAAATTGTAAAACTGATTATAACTTTGGAGTATATTGTGAAGTACTCCAGCATGTGAAGAATCATTTTTTTAAAAATACATATTCTTTTCCCTCATCTGAGTTAACACCTGCAATAACAGCATTTATACAATTCCCATACTTCAGCCCTCTGCAACTTCTTTCCTACAGATTCAATTCCTAGCCTGCCTCTTGATAGAATAAAAGCAGAAGTATTCATATTACCTCATCATCTTGATCTGACTCTGTCTCCTTTTGGTTCCAAGATGCATTGCAGAGACAAGGAATATTATAATGGACAGCAGGGAAAAGAATATCAGGATATGAAAAGGACTGAGTAGGGAGCACAAAAATGCAAGCTGATTTAGAAAGCAAACCAAACCAAAGGAAGCCAACAAAAATATTAACAACTATACAGCAGGGCAAACTAATGTGTGACGTTATCTGAAAGCATAAAAATCTGACCTAGTAGCAGCAGCAATAAACACAGAACTCCATCATACAAACTATAAGGATTTGACACCACAGTAACAAGACTTAATGCATTTACACAAGGACACTAATAAAACTTGCGTTTCAAAATCATGGCACAGAGCATTCCTTAATTGCATATCAAGGGCCCACTTTCTCAAGACCAGATAACAAAAGTCAAACGAATCAGGATTGAGGGGTACCTTTTTATGTGCTGGCAGAGTGATATTTAAATTGCAAACAGCTGTTTGAGGCAGTCCTTTGGTTGTCTTTGGTTCTTTCAGAAAAGACAGCCGACCACAGGGCTCTTGGCTGGTATCTCTAATCTGGAAGAATTCAGGTAGTTGACAGTTAGGATTTTATGTAAGAGTTAAATGTATTTGCTGTATGCAGCCCATTTAGAGGCAGAAAAGGAAAACAATTCCATTACCTATCAACCAGGGGTGTCAAATTTGACTTCAGTAAGATTCAGACACTCAGCTACCAACCAGCCTTAAAGACAGGATTGTGACATCTGCCTGTTTTAGCCTGACAATTCACAGCCCAATTAAAGTTTATACAGGTTCTTCCTCAAAGCTTCAAGTAATGCAACAACAAATAATGACAATAAAACAATGGTTTTATCTCCTATTCTCTGAGAAGACAGACGATCTCTCTAGAATGCCCTGGATACGATCTGAAATGGAAATGGAACTGCAGTACTGAATTTGGATTTCACACATCAAATATTTGGCTAATGAATGCTAACCAGATATGATACATATTGGTAAGACTTTGCAAATATTTGCCTAAGCATTAAACATTTAAAAGTCGAAGATAGATTTTTAATTAATTATAAAGCTTAACTGGTGCAAAATTTAACCCCAGCAGACGTAGGGAAAAAATGTAACATCATCCTAGGAGTTCAGATGTGATAATGATTTCTCTTTCTTTTTTTTTTTAATGAGAGTGAGGTGAGACATTGCATACTAGTCCACTCTTCTCTATTTGTAGATTCATTCTGCAAATCTTCACAAATGTTTGGGGATGGGCTTGGGCCACAGCTGGGCACCAAGAACTCAGAGCAGGTCTGCTACATTGGTAGCAGGAATTCAATGTGGGTATCTCAGCTGAGCCATTGCATGATCCTGGCAGGTGTCTGCCCTGACAGGAACCTGGAGAGTTGGGAACTGAATCAAACACTCTAATGTGTAACATGGCATCTTAATGAGTAGACTAAATGCTCATTCCTTGTGGGCTATTCCCAACTAAATCAGCAACATTGGTTAAAAAAGACCAGAGTCTCCATTAAAGATGATTTACCTTGATGGAAAATGGCAGTCTGTTTTCTTTGAAAGCATAAAAGTTAAAAACAAGCTGCTGTCCTCCTTTGGTGAGAGGAGCCAGATTTCCATAACAATCAACATAAATAGGTTTTCCTTCTAGAACCTTTTGGAGGAAAAGAAATGCATAGCTTAATGTTAGTTTCTTTGAAGAATTTTTGAAATTTCAAATTGCACATGGTAAAAGATTGGCATGTTAGTATGTCACATGTCTTTTCATGAGGAAGTACATCTATGTTGCTATTGACCATAAAAATAAGGGCTTACAATTAAATAGTTACAACTGCAAACCATGAACAATGCAGAGTTTTGCATTTATTTCCATCCTGGCAATATTAAACATGTCTCACACAGTGCCTGACATCAATCACTTAGTCACATTGGCTTTGAAATAATATGGTTGACTCTAAGATACTTATGTGAATACTATTTGAAAAAGAAATCATAATAATGTGTATTGACAAGAAAACAACTCAAATATTCACAAGAAAGTGGAATCTCACATTCACTAGAACCACATTTTAACCAGCTGGAATAACCTCAGAATATACTTAATTATAAATATAATTATATATACTTATAATTATACTTATATAGTTGTAATATAATTATATATAGTTATAATTACATAGACTTGAAATAATGACAGATTGCATCCCTATTAAATTTGCAAAATAAAATCAACAATGAGCTCCATAGAACCCGGTTGTGTATAAACTAAAATTGAAATGTCAACGAAGGAGTCACAGGATGTGGTAAAGAACTTGCATTTTTTTTAACATGTTGGTTACTTAATACTATGTCAATTAATTTCATAACATTGTGAAGTGTTGCTGATGTTATGTCGGGGCTTTTAATTGATAGGGATGATACTCTACCAGCTCTACCTTCAGACCAGAGATAGTCTCCCCAACAAGCCGTTGAATTTGTCCGGACAATAAGATGCTGGACTCTATGCTTGGTATATGTTTGCAATGAAAGAATCTCATGTGAACTTGAACTTGGGTAATGCAAAAGGTAGAGGAATCCACCATGGGGGGAAGGTGGGGAAATCCCAGTACCTATAAAACTGTGTCACATAATGCAATGCAATTAATAAAAAAAATGAGCTTGATACCTTTGGTGAGTGCTATTATGGCTCAAAATAAAACCTTGTTCTGGGGAAATGTAAACAGATAACTTATTTTTGTAAACAGGTACCTCAATATCTTTGCTCCTTGCAACTTCCTCAAAATTTTCCTGCTGCTCTAAAGTTTTATCCACTTTGTCATCTGTCATGCAGAAACATCTCAGGGAGGATTCCACAGGATCATTCATTTTGGCAAATACAACAAACTTGGCCATGTATGGAACACATATTAATTCTCTGTACAACTGTGTGGCTAACCCAACAGTTTCTAGAACTTGGTGGCAGTCCGCAAGCCAAAATCTGAGAAAAGTGAAGTAAAACAGAAGGATAAAAATTCTTAACAAAGAATGCACATTGTTTAAAAGATTTTAACAATCAGAGGACATATACAGAGAAACCAAATCAGATTGCTAACTAGTTCATTTAGAACAAAGGTGTTTAATCTGTTTATCAACCTCAAACTGCTTATCATTTGGAAATAATTTGGGTAAGCAAACACTGAAGTGTTTCTTTTCCTATCCACAGAATACACACACGCGCGTGCGCGCGCACACACACACACACACACACACACACACACACACACACACACAATTTATTTTCCCAAAAGGCAATAAAATTTATCTTGAATGCTTTTGGAACTCTTTATTTCCATACCTGGCAGAAACATTGGTTGTAAAAGAGACACAATCCTTTACAAATGTCAAAGGAGTGGTGCCTGTGATGTCTTCCCACTGAGCAGGCGAGGTGCCCCCTGAGAGAACAGCAGCACAGGTTATGGACATGGCCGGGTGACATGTGCATCATGAGCCTGCTCGTTCAGAACAGCCAGTGACGGGCAGAACTTGAACACGGTCAACTGAATGGCAGGCACTGGAGGTAGCTTTCCACCCTACCCCTTTTGCACGTTTGCCATGTCCTTGTTACTTTTTTGTAACAAGGACACTTTCTAAATAGTGCTTTGCTATTTCACTAGTGATGAATAGCTGAAACTAAGAGCAGCTGCACTTTATTAACATTTTATAAGTGAAAAAAGATGTGTTGCAGATGGATAATGAATTTATCATTATTTTAAAAGCAATTAAAAACTGTGAAGAAACAGAACATTTTGTAACTGGCTGACCCCATTCAGTTTTCTAGAGTAAAAACTGGAGATAAGGTGTTAAAATTACTAGTCAGAAAAAAAAAAGATCTACGTTTGATACTCTTGAGTTTGCAATTAAAAATAATTTCAGAATAAACAAAGGATAAATTGAGCTCCAGATTCTGGGTGCTTATCACATACTCTGCTCTCCCAAACCCTTTACACATAGTACACTGGGTTATGCCAAAGAAGGCAGGTGAGAAAAACAAGCATTCAACACATGCCAGCTACTAGTGCTCTGGAGCTTCTACAGTTTTCTGCAAACACATCTAATTTCTGTTTCATTTGCAGGATTAGGGTAGGTCAACTACCTCTGTCTCAGTCACTCAGAAATGACCTTGGTGCTCTAGTATAATCAAGAATACAGCAATCATTCCAAAAGGGTAGTATTACCAATGCTAATCTTAACAGCAGGAGAGAAGACATCACTAAATTTTACATGGGTCTTGAAACCAGCAACTCAGAAGTGATTCTGGAGATAGCAGAGAAGAGGTGATGGACAAGTAAAACAGCTCATTCTCAACTTCCTACTCTGAATATTGGCGTGGTTGCATGCCATTGCAAATCAACAGGAAGACTAGCAGCAACTGAACCAAACCTGTAATGCTACAGAGAAGACGCAGGTTGGGCGTGGTGTCCCCCTTGTATCCATTGGATACACCTTCTCCTGATGGTGGGGGCACCGGAATGGTCATTGTGATTGGCTTATGGAATTTTCTTCTTCTTGGTTCCACAGTGACAATTGGGCTAAATGTTGCTTTGTTTCCTAGGATCTTTTTCACTATTTCATCTGGAACAGGCTGAGCCTAAGGACAGAGAAAAAGTCCTTAATTAAGTGAAAGTGGACTTTCCCTCCCCCACCACATGTTGACTCTCTTAAGTGATGAGACAAACAAATACAAATAACTACACTTTATTCTCTCCTGCTATTCCAGAAAGTCATGAAAAATAAAACCACCTAACACTGTGGCAGGAATTGGTCAACCCATGTCCTCAACCATGTCCTCAGTAGAATACTGACAGGAGTGGCTTGCAAGCAAGAGAAAGGGTTAACCTCTGGGCAGCGAAACTTCTATTCCAAAGCAAAGAGTGAGAAAACAGTGAGCTCAGTGCATCAGGATGCTTCAGAAAGTTCATGGAAAAGTGGATTGGAGAAATCACTTTACTTTGGTGTCAAAAATTCTGAAATACACCTGCAGACATTTCCCATGTGTTTTTAAAGATCCTCTTCTATTCTAAACCTAGGCAGGGCATCTGTTGCAATCTCCCAATGTCACCTCATACTCAGGTAGACAATGAGGCTTTCAGAGGACGGGGGGAAAAAGATCGTCGAAGGATTTCAATTCCAGTATATCTAACCTATCATCTTCACTGGCAAAGTAACGCAGTATGATGGGCAACAAGAACTCCATACCACATGGGATGAGAGGTGGTCCAGCTTCAAATATTTACAAAGACCTTCCCAGGTCTGAGGAGGGCTCAGCTGAAAAAAAAATCTGAACAACTTCCTCGGGTAGGAGAGTCCAGCTTCACACAAAGTGTATGAGCTCAGTGAAAATAGTAATTATTACATGAATTAACAGTGCAAAGCGACTCATTTTCAGCTCATTTCCCTTATTCCACAGAGAAGACAGTACTAATGAAGGCCTCACAGAAAAGCTTCAGTGTAAGACAGCTCATTCTTGCCAACCTTTCCAGTCAGCTTTCCAAAGCAAAGCAAGTTCCAACTGGTTTGGATGAAACCCAGGAGGTATGATTTACTGAAATCAAAGCAAACACTAAAACTCACACGTTTTACCGTAACTGGTTTTTATGATGTGACAGGTCATAAACCAAGTTTTGGTATGTTGGCCTATATATGACTGCCCATAACCTATGATTGAAAAACTGTATTATCAGAAACCAGAAACATATGTATACACCTTATTGAACAAGCCGTTGCACAAACATCACACTTAATGCGCTTTTGGTGAATTAGGTTAACAGTTCTCAAAATGGCCTGATTAGAAATAGCCGTAAGGAGGAACTTGGATGACTGCTTCAGGAAGAAAGCTATGGTCATGTGCTCTCTCCATATACCAAGAACTCCAGGCGTTGGGAATGTTACCTGGAGGCCCACTCGGATTCTTTTGGTTAAAGCACCCTCTGGGAATGACGCCTGGACCAGAGGCACTGTAGTGCTGCTCAGAATTCCCCCTTCAGGGCCGATCTGGCTGCTCTCCTGCTTGATCCGTGAAACCACTGCAAAATACTGGGGGAAATCCTTCGTGATAATCCTGCAGATCCGCTTCTTCCCTAGTTCCTCTGGGCTATCGAGTTCTGCAAAGAACAAGGAACAAACGATGGAAAAAGCTGCGAGACTAAGCACCTCCTCCAAATGCCTATGCGACAAACCAACAGGTGACTGGGACAGCCCAAATAATGCTAATCCATCAGGGGAGACAGAGCAACAGTGACCACGGGAGGGCGCTTCAGAAAACAGCGTGGAACAGGAGAAAGGGCGACTTCTTTTGGTGCAATTTTGTTTTTTAAAATCTGCCTTGTTTTTTTCATGTGTTATTGTGACTGTTCTGAAGATCTCTCATACAACAAGTTTTGCAAAAGCATTAAGGACTTTTTAATATACTTCAGTACTTTCAGTAAAATATTTCTATTTCTGAAGAGAAAAGCCCTTCAAAAATGGCTACTTCGCCCTAGGTGGGCAAACATCCCTCTTTAAGCAGGAAAACATTATTCTGTGATTATTTACAATGATCCACTCTCAAGTCATTCAAAATAGGTGTAAGTCTCAAAAACTGGGGCCTCCCAACAAAATGCGTAAGAATTTTGACATGTCTGAAAAAGTCTACATAAAGAAATAAAGCATATATGTGTGTGGTTTTTTATGTATACATAAGTATATGCATATATACATATGCATATACACACAACACATATGAGGGAAATTCAAAAGGTACACAGAAAATGAGGTTGAGGGATAAGATTGGAGTGGGCACTTGCCTACTAGTTTTGATGTCTCCTGGCATGCCTACATCCTATACCAGAACACCTGGGTTAACTCACAGCTCTGCCTCCGATTCTGTCTTCCTGCTGATGTATACCCTGAGAGATAAGTGGCCCTTTCACCCACATGGAAGACTCAAATTGAGTTCCAGTCTCCTAGTCGGCTCGTTAGTCTAGGGGTATGATTCTCGCTTCGGGTTCCAGTCTCCTGGCTTCAGCCTAGCCTCACCCTGGCTACTAGACATTTGGGAAGTTTTTAAATAAAGTTATAAATAAGTAACAACAGAAAAATCCTATCTTGCATGGTTGTGGACTGCAAATGCACAACTTAGCAGTTATTATGAAGAGAAGTCTCAACTCATGTGGCCATTTCAAGCACTGACACTACTTGTGGAAACCTTCATGCTCCTTTGTTTCATCAGAAGGCCATTCTGGAATTCCCAGATCTCCAGACCTCTGCATAATGAAATAAGTAACTTCCCCTAATCCCTGTAACCAAGTTATGTCTCATGTACTCATATGCTTAAAACACGTGCAATTGTTTTCCCATAAATAAAAGCCAATGGAAGTGTCAAAAATACAAGAAGGGGGTTTGTAAAGAGGCATAGCCTTTTAAGGCACTAGCTGAAGGTTGAACTGTGAAATTCTAGAACATTGCTTAAGTAAGAATATAATGTAAGTGACACAGACAGCAGGTAGGAGTAAGGAGGCAAGAGGGAGAGGAAGAAGCCAGTATTCATATAACTTTACACTCTATCACATGATCTTAACCTTGAACACAACTGAGGGGTAACTGAATTATGACATATTCATACTACGGACTACTACTTAGTTTTAACATGACTGACACAAGAATGAATTTACCTCTAAAACATATTAAATGAAAAAGCCAAGAAAAAATATCATCTCTGGACAATGAACACATCATATCTCTATAGTTTTATATATGAATTCACATCATTTACATGAAAGCAGAGTAAAGATCAATGCATTATGAGTTATTACATGTATAATCATACTAATACTAGCTTGAAACAATGGTAGATAGATATGAACCAATATGCAGTATAATGTAAATTGAATTTATGCATTTTAATTTTCATTTCTTACTTTCATAAATGGAACTGAAACAGTACTGAATTGATTTTAGCAAAATGAGAACAGGGTTCTAACATGCTGTTGACTGAAGAAGGCTCCAATCGGGCATGGAAGGGCAAGCAGCCTTGCAAGACCATTACATCCGGGCTTGTGACGTGACCTGGCAACATGGGTACATTCCCACAAGGCTTTGATTCTAAGGAAATTATTTGTGTCTATCAACAAATAAGGGTTTCCCCCCTTAAAAATATGAAGTAATCACAGTTAATAACATTAAATGATGATTTTCAGTGTGACCTGGCAAACAAATACATGTTCAACTCACCACCACTGAACATAAGAAATCTTTTGGGAACTATTGAGCCTCAGTCACTTCTCATACCAAGCAGCCATACTCTAAAATAAATCTGGTAGAGACCAATTTTTGCTTTAATAGTTTTATATTTAATAAAAACCTGCAAGTGATAATGTACCTCTACTTTCTTATTTTAATTCACCGTGAAGTTTATTATGTCCACTTATTCATAATTCAAATTACCATTCAGTGAATGTATGTTTTAAGTGAATTAGAAACCTCTGAGGCAGGCAGGCAGGCAGGCAGGCATTTGGCTCAGTGGTCACGACACCTTTTCCGCGTTCAGGGATTCTTGGTTCAATATCAGGATCTGGTTCCTAACTCCAGTTCCCTGCTAATGCAGACCTGATGAAGCAGAAGCGATGGCTGACATAACTGGACTGCTGCCACACACATGGCAAATCTGAAGTGAGCTCCCAGCTCCTGGAATCTGGGGGCTGAAGAGGAAAATGGGAGCTCTCCATTCTTCTCTTGTTACAGAGAGGAAGAGACAGAGATACGCACCTCCCCACATCCCCACATCACACATACACACACAGAAAGGGAGGGGTGTGGGGGAGCCAACAAAAGAGATGGAGAGCTCTTCAACTGGCTGGTTTACTTCCCCAATAGCTGCAAAGGTCAAGGCTGGGCCAGGTCAAAGCCAGGAGCCAAGAATATATTGCAGGTTTCCCTCGGGAAGCTGGATAGTGTAGCAACTGGGTCCGATGCAATGGCTCAATGACTAAATTTCCACCTTGCAAGCACTGGATTAACATATGGGCAATGGTTGGTGTCTGGGACCCTCCCTATACCCATGTGGGAGATCCAGGAATGGCTCCTGGGTCCTGGCCCCTGGCTTCAGATTGACTCAGCTATGGCAGCTGCAGTCATTTGGGGGGGGTGAACCAGGGATGGATGATCTGTTTCTCCTTGTCTCCATAAATCTGATCTGCCTTTCCAAAAAAAAAATAGATCCTTTTTTTTAAGTGTAGGAATTGGGGCACAAACCCATTCCCGTAGGAGGCACGCATGTTGCAAGTGGAGCCTTTATCTGCTATACTACAGTGCTGAACCCAAGAATGAGAGCTTTCTATATCTGTCTCCATCTCTTCACTAAATAATGAAATCATTTAAATCAAGTTCTTTTCTTTGAAAAAGGATCATAAAATTTCCCTGAAAGTTTTGCCTTGCAGCCTTTCCATGGCCATCAGGAAAGTAAGCTTTCAAGACAAAGAGAAATGTAGAAACAATGGCAACTGTCTCCCCAGGAGTGACCTGGTATGGGTTCAGATTTGAAAGTGGTCACCCATTTCAGTTTGGGAAGAACTGAAAACATATGACCAAGAGTCTTCCTTGTGCTCCCATCCTCTACACCTTGTGAAAAGACAATAACCTGCATGGGCCCGGCGCGGTGGCGCAAGTGGTTAAAGGTCCTCGCCTTGCACGCCCGGGATCCCATATGGGCGCCGGTTCTAATCCCGGCAGCCCCGCTTCCCTTCCAGCTCCCTGCCTGTGGCCTGGGAAAGCAGTCGAGGACGGCCCAAAGCTTTGGGAACCTGCACCCGCGTGGGAGACCCGGAAGAGGCTCCTGGCTTCGGATCGGCATAGTATCGGGCCGTTGCGCTCACTTGGGGAGTGAATCATCGGACGGAAGATCTTCCTCTCTGTCTCTCCTCTCTGTACATCCACCTTTCCAATGAAAAAATAATAAAAAAATAAATCTTTAAACTATACTTTTTAAAAAGACAATAACCTGCAACCTACACAGGATGCTATGGCTGTGGTTGCCAGTGTCACGTGCCCTACCCTGGCCAGATCCTGGCACCTACATGCCAGGCTTCGCCGGTGGAACCAGATCCTGTATTTTTCACACTTAGCTCAGGTAACTTTGTAATGTCCCATGTTTGGGAAGCACTGTCATCATGGACCTTTAGCTTGCACCTGACCATCAAAACTTCAGAACCCAATTTATTGCAAATGTAACAACATGATTCTATGAAGGAAAAAAAAAAAAACAGCTGAAGGGTGGTTCAGTATGAGGAGTTGCTTATGAGACAACAGGCATCACATATTTTTCATAGGGTCTCCCCCATAAAGGATATAGTAAATGATCCCATAGTTGTAGAGTTAAAGAACAAAAGAACAAAAGCAACTGTAAGCTAATGAAGCGTGCAATTAAACTTGAGCTTCTTAGCTTTCAGTGTAATTCATAATGCCCATCCAAAGCCTTCCTTTCCTATTTTTTTTTAAAAAAAGACTTATTTCTCCTTTCTTTTAAATTTGTTACAAATCAGATTTTCAAACACAGTAAGATAATTAAAGGGAAGGGAGAAGCAAGTGCTGATGACAGGTTGTTCTAGCCAGGAGGAAGGTTGAAATTTACTAAATGTCTTTTGTGACAGGTGAGTTATTATTTTACTCACATAAAAATGAGTAAATAGTGCGGGCAGCCATGCAGTTGGGACTGATGGAGCAAGGGTGTGACTAGCTCCTCGGTTAGCAAGGCTATGAGTTTCCAGCTGTGTGGCAAGGCCCGGCAGAAAGTCTCTGGTCACTTCATTGCTGCCTCACCCCATCGTATGGACACTCAATCACCTCTCTGATGTTTGATAGAATTTTCCTGAGAGTATTGTTGTTTTTCTGCAAATGTGAAATGATTCCTGTAACTGGTATAATACCTCAAAGTAATCAATCATGTTATGGTAAAAGCGTCTTTAGCAATTTAAGGCAATGACACACAGCTAAAAGCATACAATAGTACAATTGAGCCCACAATGTTTCCAAACATCCTGTTATGTGCCCACCTTTGTCCTGGAGCTTGCCCTAACATAAATAATATTTTCCTTAAGAAATGGCTTGATAATATCTTGGAACAGATGGC